GATGATGATCATGATAAAAATATTTGTGATTACAAACTTTGAAATGCAATAAAATACGAAAAATAAGCATATTTTAGCTAAAATAAAATGCGTTGGTCGCTCTAAAAAAAATTTCAATACATTTTGCAGCCACCGCTTTTATTTTATACGCTTTTGTTTTGATTTGTTTCAAATTGTGTTGCTCAAATTTGACCCACTACTAGATCTCTAATTCCGCGATTTTGTTTTCGTTGAAAGCACAACAGTCAACAATACCTCAATTTCAATCTAATTAGTCCTTGAAAAAAATTATTCAAAGATAATTATCTTTAATTTTAAAATGGGAGAGGTAAACAAATTAAGCAGGTTTTGTGTTCACGGCTGCTTTAAAACCCGACCACGAAGTCTACAAGAATTAATATTTCCATTCCTTTCGTTCTCAGCACGACTAAAATACTTGCTTTAGATTTAAAACCCGATCAGCAGCCCCAACGCTTAACATAACTCCACCCCTTTTAGTTAGAGAGCGAATTAATGCGAATTTACTTATTGTATTAGTTTTCCTTCTATTAAAGACTCTAGTAATATTCGGATTAATTTTTAATGACAATGTCTATTTTAATATGTAAGTTGATTCAAAATTATATGTTTGCGTTCACATTGGAAGTAAACTTTTGTGGATAGGTAATAGGAAATTAAATCTGCTAATAAAATTGGTTGAAACATTTCCAAGATTTGATCACAAACCCACCCTTGACTTCCTGACATTTAAAATTAATTTTAACATAACAAAAACAAAAAGCCTGTAAAAATAATTTTTATTTAAATCAGACCAATCAGACATTAAATTACTTTGAATGAAACTGTCTCTGATCTTGACGTCACTTGTTTCAAATTATAATTAGTGGGCCCTGTAGAAGAAAGTATAGAGGCTGGACCGCTGGAGGTAATTTTTTTGTACTTCTAACTATGCGCTCCGTAACCAAACATGAGTGCTTTTCACGGGAAACTAGAAATCATAACATTATACAGCTTTGTTTCTATCTAAGCTTTCATAACAGCGTATTGTGAATGGGGTCGTCCTTAAGGCATCCATTGCGTCACACGTTTGACCGTTTTTAATCCTAAAAACACATCTAAACTACATAAATCCTACATGATACATTTCTAGAGCTTAACAACAGCTATTTATATTGGACAGTTGCTCTTACGTCATCAACACAAATCGGACAGCAGGCGCCCGGGGGAGTCTCAAACTTTTCACAGCGGGTGTGAGCGCATTCCAGTGTGATGCAGGTCACCTGACCGCTGCTCTGGCACGTGCAGTACTGGCACGCGCTGGGTTTAAAACTGTTGCCCGTCTAGAGATGACATTTGCATAAATTATTTCATTTAAATCTTCACCAATCAACCGTTAAATATCTACGGGTCTCTAAATGATTGTTTTTAAATTTGACGAGAAGAGTTAAATAAATAAATAGGCTTATTTACTTAAATAAGCTGTTAATAAGCAAAGTATTGCAATTTGAAATGTGGATGAAAAAATGTTGATGTATTTTAATACATTGGCCAACTAGGGTAAGCTCCACTTTTAAAAGCCTAAAATTGTTGCCCCACGAGCTAGCAACTCACGTGCAAAAGTGCGCCGTCTGACTCACACCCTGGGCCAGTACTAGCACCATTCACAGACCAGCACACAACCGTCAGAGTAACAGGCAGGAAAAATGGCGACATTATTGCACAGCGGTGTATACAACGCTTATTGCTGGTTTCAGATGTTTACAAGACGAATAGGGCTCTTATCTTAGTAGGTCTACGTTTTGAGTTGTGTACGAACATAGGTGTCGTCACAGTGTAAACCTTTCATTTCGCCACTAGAATTTTGTTTGCCACTGTTCACCGTTAAAACGAACCCAACAAAGTGACAGAGGCATAGCGACCCTTCCCCGAGCCCGGGGACAAACTTTCAATTTGGCGCCCCCCCCCCCCCCCCCCCCCCGCCATATATTTTTTCATATTTATAATGCAAAACTGCAGCTAAAATGAGCTTTTAATTATTTTTCCAACCCATTTTGGCGCCCCCTAGGGTCGGCGCCCGGGGACATATGTACCCCCTGCCCCCCCCCCCTTCGCTACGCCTATGCAAATATACTAAAATACTCTCGTCAAAAAAGGCAAAAGAAATCAACGACATTTTCTCCCGACGAAAGGATTCTCGACAAAGGAACCCGCAACATTTGGACTCGCAACATAATGCCTCCCAACATATTGTTCTAGACAAAATGTTTCCGGGTAATTGGTCTACCAACAAAATGACTTCTAATAAAAAACCTTCCGACAAAATGAATTCCGGCATTTCTGTATTGTAGAAGAAACGTAGATGAATAGGGTTTCGTGTTTTAAATTGTAAGCTTTTATTTTAGAGGCGATCATTGTGACTGGTACTGACATTGAAGAAATCAAAATAATTAAATAAGTCAATATTTAGATATTAGTTTGAGTTTAAGCTCATGGCACATCCAAAAAGGATGCTCCTCATTTTCACATTTTCTCTTTCTCTTCCTTATCGACTGGATTATAAAGACACCCGTCAGTGGGATAAAGAATGGAATTTCGTGAATCAAATCTGGACATTCAGTATTTCTTCCAGACTTGTTTCTCGGGGGGGGGGGGGGCTTGATATTTTCGGGGGAGGGGGTACGGACACTGGTAAAAGTATGTTTTCTATATAAATTCCAATACGTTCGGGGGCGGTAGACTTTCTTCGGGGGGGGGGGGGGAGCGGAGATGCCTGAAAGAAACTGTGTGCATTGCTGATAATTTTGTAGCTCTCTCTCACCTTGCGGCACATGCAATAGATGTGATGTCAGCCATGTCATTACCAGTCAAAGTCACGTCCCTTTGAGGAGATGAAGCATTTACTTACCTTGGTAGCATTATAGATGAACAGAGGGGAACATATGCAAATGTGAAAGCAAAGCAAGAGCTAATTTCATCCGGCTTAAGTAGATAGTATAAACCACTAGAGAGTTCCACTTGAAAACCAACATTTGCATAATCAACTTCACTGTAAATTCGTCTTTATTACCAGAAACTTAGAGGACAACCAAAAATACATTTAGTGAAAGTGTAGGTTTTGGCTGCCTCGGGCAAATTCTAAAAATTAACTGGTTAGACATCATCAGCAATGCCAACAATTGGCAATAGACATGCCTAAGTCCAGTAAGAGTTAAAGAAAATTTGGTGGTGATGATTTTAGCCCTCATCTACCACACCAGCTCTCAAGTTGAACGGACAAAACATTGCAGACAAGCGAACGAAAGGTCGCCCAAATTGCCAAGAAATAGTTCTAAATCTACTTTACAGCGACTTTACACCGAAACTAATACTCAACCCCCCCCCCCAGCGAAATAGAATTTATATACAAAATATACACTCTAATCACCAGTGTCCGCGGTCCGCCCCTCCCCAAAGTTTCAAGTGCCCAGGGAGAAAAATGCCTGAAAGAAACACTGCCCAGGAAACAGGACTATGTTGTATTAGGCCTACATACCCCAGGAGGGGTGACGGGCTGTACATGAGTGATCACTTCCACGGGAGCATAGATCTAATTAAATTTTTAAAATTATAGTGATAACGAAAATGAAAGATGTTTCTTTAAAGGTATTTTGTTTTGTAAATGGTAATCAGTTCTAAATTTTGTATAGATCTAGTGGAAAATATAAAACTCAATGTTGTCTAAGAGAAACGAAACAAAATTAATGAGGCTGATAACACGCGTTGACGCTAGAAGTTGACGTTTGTTTACGACTTACGATTGTTGGATACGCAAGCTCTATCCAGTAGGTCTAATCTTTGGTTTAAATCGTTAGAAACTGTTAACTAACACTAGATTTATATCTAGAATATAGACTGGTGACAATGGAGCATTAGTTTCTAGCTTAGATTCCAGCTAATTTAAAAACAAAATTTTAAATTACCATGTCCATGCCACAATCAGTTGTGATTGTCTGATTCAACTGATTGTGGCACAATCAGTTGAATCAGACAATCACAAAGGTGACAAAACTGAAAAAAGTTTTAAAAAACACCAGTCTGATCATCAGTCTGAGTATGTTACTAATCTTATCTACAAAATATCTAGATTCTAGATCTATGTACTATTAGGCTTGTCGGTATCGGCCGAGATCGCGGTAAAAACATGACCCGAAATCTCCCATTACTTTCTGATACCGGGTGCACGAGATTTGGTTTCGCATACTAATAAGTTTTTAATTTATGGTAATTAATTAAGTTTAAAAGGTCATTTCCTAATGTTAAATGAAAAGTAGGCCTAGAATGGTTTTCCAGTTGTTTTGATGGCTTAGCGATCTGATTGCATGCTGTCTCTGCTTTGGTCTTACCGCGGTATAAAGGTTAACTTCAAATGCTTTAAAAGCGCGATTTTTGAAAAGTTTCCATTTAGATAATGAAAGTTTCCAAAGCAGATACATCCCATTTTTATAGAAATGATATTTATTTTTGGATATTTTGACTTTAACATTAGAAAATACTCATTTGAAAGTAGTCACCGTAAGTAGGTCACGTTGCCCCCATTGACTCCAATGTTATATTTCTTCATCCCGATCTGCCGGCTTTTAGTTTAGATACACTAACAACAGTATTCTTATGTAATGTACAAACAAATCTCCTACTTGTTGTTTTAAACATATTTTAATATACCTGTCTTTCATTTTTTCAACTCTGGTTCTAGTTTTGCTTGAAGTAAAATTTTGCTGAGTCAGACATAGGTTACCTGTCTGTTGCTAGAATACACTACACTAGCTATGTGCTAACACTGTAATTTTAAGTATTCAAGTTCTACTTACCCTTACTTACAGTTATATTTATATGCTGAAAATCAGAATTCATACACAATACACACATAAAAACATTGATCAGATAACTTCAGTTCACTTTTAACAAAATGGCTTAAAGATAGACTCTACTTCACCTGCCCAAAATAATAAGGCAATTATATGCACATTACAGCGTTCAAGTCATTTACTTTAGATTGCTAACTATGTAGTTTTTTCATTCACTGTATTTATATAAAGCATTGCTTTAGAAACTTTTTCATATTTGTGCAGCACAGTTTTATAACATAATGTCTTAAAGATGGACTCTACTTCACCTGCCCAAAATAATGGGGCAGTTATATGCACATTTCAATGTTCAAGTAATTTACTTTAGATTGCTAACTTTGTAGTTCTTTCATTCACTGTAAAACATTGCTTTAGAAACATTTTCATATTTGCGCAGCACAGTTTTTTTGGGGTTATAGAAGGAAGCCAACACAAAAATATACTTCTGTATTATTTTTATTTATTTCAACAGCATATACAAGTTCTATATATCATTCTAGCTAAACTCTGCAAATATGAACAAAATACAACTGCAAGTAAAATAACTATGCTCAATTTATTCAGGTATACCATGACTTGTCACAATTGGCCAATGCAAAGACAAGGGCATTCCACCCCTCACAAAAAAATTCGCTAAAAAAAAACTATTTGAGCTAGACAGAAAATCTTTTTTGTTTTGTTTTCATATAGTTGAGCTCTACAAGAATATATAATTTTTATTTTTATATGATGATTAGTGTTTTTTTACCTAAATCCCTAGTACTATGTTATGTAGTAGATAGATCTATGTAGTGTACGAGTCTTGCTTGAACTACATAGTACATACTACATTGGACACATCACAACAAAAAAACATCCATCAGTTGTGATTGATTTGATTGATCCAAGTAACAAGTTTTCTTGAAGCACAATCTCTCAATCTAATACTTAACTCAATACTTATAGATCTAGATTCTAGATCTAGTTTATAGTTTTACTTTACTATACTGGATGGTGAGATGATGATAAGATCAAGATCATTAAGTTAGTTAAGAATGACAGATTTATGTTTTGTAGCTGCGTAGCAAAAAATGATTCGGCTGATATTAGCCAAAAATTTACCTTTTGAGGCTTTTGAATCCCTAGTAGAATGAACCCCAGCCTGAGTCTGGCCTCAGTCTCATTCCTATCCAGTCTTTATATTATATATCAAGTTCATTAGTTCAAGGAACTAGTAAATTGTAGTAATAGATGTCATTAGATGAGCTCTACATTGCCTGAATTATTTACTGTCAGGTCTGAAAGGACTACTACTCGCTACTAGACCTATTATCAATATCAGGGTTTATTCAACATGTTATTGATAATATTAATTTAAGACAATGTTCAATGTATGCTCTGTTTTGATTTAAGCCAAGTGAATTCTTGCTGATTTATTGATTGTTGTTTTTCTGTCTAATTCTGTTCAGGATAAATTGTAGTAGATCTATAGGAGTTGAAAGAAGTAGTAAAAATGGTGAGAAAGAAAATAGACAACAGAATTCGTCTCATGATAGAAAATGCTGTAGGGACACGCCATAGATCCATGTTTGTTATTGTAGGTGACCAGGGTAAAGACCAGGTAAGCAAACTTATTTTTTTCATTTAAGGATAATTCAATTTTGCTAAAATTTTATTTATCAAGATTTACTCATTAGGGTCTAATTTTAATAAAATCTATTTTCATTTCAAAGACAGATTACTTGAGTCTTCAGTCAAAGACTAACCAGCAATATAAATATATTTGTTTTCTTCAATAACAGGTGGTCATTCTACATCATATGCTCAGCAAGGCAGAACTGAAAGCAAGGCCATCAGTCTTATGGTGCTACAAAAAAGAGTTGGGATTTAGCAGGTTAGTGAGGTCTAGTATTTGTTTTGCTGGTGATATTTTCTTTTGGGATCTAACTTAAATATTTAATACAATTTATGACCTCAAAATTTTTATCAAAATTTTAATTTTGTTTAAAAAAATTCAACTCCCCATTCAAGTGATATTGTTTTGTTTGTTCATTTTACATGATTTTACTGGGCTCATGTGTCACTCATTTCTTTACTTAAAATGGATCACCTTTTTGCAGCCACCCTAAAAAGAGGATGAAAGAATTACAAAAGAAAATTAAAACTGGGCAATTAAATGTAAAAGGAGATGACCCATTTGATTTATTCATTTCATCAACAAACATTCGCTACTGTTACTATGCAGAGACCCACAAGATACTTGGAAACACCTATGGCATGTGTGTTTTACAGGTATCATTTGATGTAGTCTTTGAAGACTTTTCACTACTTAAGTGTAATGTTTTGTTTGTCTATTGATGGTTTTAAAACATTTTGGAATTTATGTATTTGCTTCAAGGACTTTGAAGCTTTGACCCCCAACTTGTTAGCCAGAACTGTAGAAACTGTTGAAGGTGGTGGCATTGTTGTCATTTTGCTACGTACCATGTCCTCATTGAAGCAACTTTTTACCATGACTATGGTAGGTTTTCTATCTGCGTACTCTTATTAACTTAAACTTTTTTTGTTTTGGATTTCCCTTAATAAATTGTTAACTTGCGTAGTTGCTTTTGTGCCTAATATTATATTAGCTGTACTTTTGTTATAATACAGGATGTTCACTCAAGGTTTCGAACAGAGGCTCATCAGGATGTTGTGGGTCGCTTCAATGAGAGGTAGTTACTAATGTTTAAGCAGTTGAGTGGTATGCAGCTTAGATTTTAGCAGCTCTGAGTGCTGTTGTTTACATGAGTTAGGCTAAAAGTTAAAATTGCCTACATATGAAAAGAAGCTGTTAAGTAATGTATTTACCCTTAACTTTGCCTGTGTATGTTTAATTGTAATTACATTTTTTAAAGGTTTCTCTTATCGCTGGCTTCTTGTGAAAATTGTGTTGTTGTTGATGACAAGCTACACCTTATTCCAATCTCCACACATGCTTTAAACATAGAAGCGATGCCAGCTAAATCATTGGTTTGTTGGTTTGTTTTTTAAATTTAGAGCTTTTGTTATAATCTGATTTTAAGAGTGTTTTGTAAGATATTTTTTTTCAAATAACTAACATCCATTTACTTGAAAATATTGATAAAAGGATGAAGCCTCCCCAAATGAAACTGAATTGGCTGAGTTGAAACAATCAATTCAAGAAATGGATGTTACGACAGGAAAGATAATTAAGCTGTGTCGGACTTTGGATCAGGTATCTATGACATTCAAGTTCAAGTGCCATGTTGAATCATAGTTTGCATTTTTAAATTAATAATTATAAAAAAAATGATTTAATAAATTCTTACCACAAATGTTTAGGCTCAAGGCTTTCTGAAATTTGTGGATTCTATAGTAGAAAAGACTTTACGTAGCACAGTTGTAATGACAGCAGCAAGAGGCAGAGGAAAGTCTGCGGCTCTTGGTTTAGCTATGGCTGCGGCTATTGGATTTGGGTACTTCTATAACTAATTTATTTTAGTATTTTGAATGTACTATTATTTACATGGGAAAAGTTGTTCAAACAAGATTTATTTTATTTTTCTGTCAAAGCAAGACTGCCTATGTTTAACATCAGCAATTTAAAATCTCCAGCTATTCTAATGTTTTTGTCACTGCTCCAAGTCCTGAAAATCTCAAAACTTTGTTTGAGTTCATATTTAAAGGCTTTGATGCAATGGAATATCAGGTAATTATGTGATGGTGATATTTGCTTTTTAAATTCTTATTCAGTCACTGGCTAAAGATAACCGTAAAGAGACTTATATACATTTTAAAAAAATCATGTTTCAATGATGTAAATACATTTTTAAGCCAGCTAATTTAAAAAAAATTAATTTTGATTAACATATTACAGGAACACATTGACTATGAGATAATTCAGTCTACCAATCCAGAATTTAACAAAGCTGTTGTCAGGGTTAACATTTTCAGAGACCACAGACAAACCATCCAGGTATTGCAATATTTACACTACGGTAGATCAAATACAAGTCCATCAGTCAGTGACTAAAGTTGTAGGGTCTGATTGAATAGATAGGGCACTTTTCTATAAGTTCAAAGAATTTGACAATTGTAATCTTATTTTAATGTAGTTCTACATTTTAAAATATTAGTACGATAATTAAACTTTGCGACCCATTAAATAGTTTTTAGCTTAATTAATTTTTAGATCAGCTATTTAGTTAAGACTAGATGCTAGTATAGACTTTCTGTATACTTAATAAAATATATGAACATTTCACACACTCTAATGTATTTCAGTATATCCATCCTGCTGATTCCCACAAACTAGGCCAGGCTGAGTTGGTGTGTATTGATGAAGCAGCTGCCATCCCTCTGCCCCTCGTCAAGAATTTGCTGGGTCCTTATCTGGTCTTTATGTCTTCTACAATTAATGGGTAGGGTAAATAAAGTCATCAATTTTTTATTTTACTAATGTCAAGTATTTAGTGGGAGCTTATAGTTACAATTTTGTCTTGAAGTTATGAGGGAACTGGCAGATCCCTGTCTCTAAAACTGGTCCAGCAGCTGAGGCAGCAGTCAACCACGTATGGTGGCAGTGTTAAAGAAGCCAGGCTGGCAGCAAACATGGCCAAAAAAGGAGCAGACACGTCAGCATCAGGTTGGATACCATGTTTATCCTTATCAGTTCTGCTGTGGTTAAACTTTCAGGTGTTCAATTAGTTAATTAATGCTTTTACCACACCATCTGCAGGTCGAGTACTTCATGAGATTGAGCTGAAAGAGTCTATACGATATGCCAATGGGGACCCAGTAGAGGCATGGCTCAACAGATTGCTGTGTCTGGATGCCAGCTCTGTGCCCAGGTCAATAACTGGCTGCCCTCTACCTGCCACTTGTGACCTTTACTATGTGAACAGAGACACCTTGTTCTCTTACCACCCTGCCTCAGAGAAGTTTCTGCACAGGGTTATGGCATTGTATGTTTCCTCACATTACAAGGTACAGTGAACCATTACATGTTGTTGTATGCTGTTCTATCTAAAGCTTAAGTCCAGAAGTGAACCTTCACCCCACAACATATCTAGTCTAATTTTACTATGATTTGAAGTCCATCAGTCACCATTGGAATCAGATGTTGAAGTAGTTGTAATTTGTTCACAGAACTCCCCAAATGACCTTCAGCTTTTATCAGATGCTCCAGCCCATCACATCTTTGTGTTGCTTGGCCCTGTACAGCCCTCACAAGGAGGACTACCTGAAGTCTTGTGTGTTTTACAGGTAGGTACTGATTTTCTATAGGACTACATCCTCTTTATTTGGTTTTCCTTAATTTAACAATTTTTCACATTTATTGATATTCCAAAAAAAAAAGATTTTTCTGATTAGTTTGTTTTATATAACAAGTTTACATTTGTCTTCTTCATACTTTAAAAATATTGATGAAGATATTCATTAACACTACAGATATTTCCTTATATTGTCTAAAATATTTTATAGAGGGCACCAATGCTAATCTTTAATGTGCTCTGTAAACAAGGTTTGTCTGGAGGGTGAAATATCAAAATCTACCATCATGAACAGTTTACAGCGAGGCAAGCGAGCATCTGGGGATCTCATACCATGGACAGTCTCGCAGCAGGTAACTGTTTTCATACCCGACAATGTCCACAGTACCATTAGCACTCCTGTCTGTAATCATACCTGACAGTATTAAATGTCCACAGCACCATTAGCACTCCTATCTGTAATCCATATCTGACAATGTTTTTTTTTTCCCTCAGTACCAAGACCACGACTTTCCTGGGTTGTCTGGTGCCAGAGTTGTGAGAATAGCAACACATCCAGACTACCAAGGGGTATATATTGTTGGCATCTCTACACTGCCTCGCTTTTGTTTATTTAATGTAGTGTTTGGAATCATTTCACTTGAGTTTTCTGTTACATTCACCATTGCTTTATGTGTTGAACTAATTGTGCTCTTAGATGGGATATGGCTCCAGGGCTTTAAACCAGCTCCAAGAATATTTTGAAGGGAAGTTCCCTAACCTTAAAGAAACTAATGAAGAAAATATGTCAAGTGAAAGTGAAGATGAAATTAAAGAAGTTGCTGAAGAGGTTAGTAAAAATTGTCAAGAAGAATAATGTCGTCTTAAGCTTGTACAGTTTACCATAGACAGTTAAAGATTTTTTAAAAATGCACCTCAGTGCTAGTGTGGGTTATTTTAACAATTAAAACAAAATAGCAATATCATTGTGCTACTTTGTTCCTAATATTAAGATTTTGTTTCTACTTTGGCTGTTGCCAATACTTGTTCCTGAATCTCCTTCCATTGTCCATGGTCAAAAAAATAAATAAAAAATAAACATTAGCCAGGGTGGCCACAGGGACTTTTGCTGGCCTGGAATGACAAGGATTAGCAAAATTACATAAAAAATACACATCTGGTTGACACACCATGAGGGCTACATCTAGTATTTTACTTAACACATTTATGTATTATATTTTTAATCCATGTTAAACATGTGCAAACAATTTTTATATCTAGCTTATTAAAATTAAAATTTGACTTGTTTATACACAGGAGTTAGATCTTCTTAATGAGCAGATTCAGCCAAGAAAGAAACTGCCACCCCTTCTGGTGAAGTTAACAGAGAGAAGACCAGAAAGTCTTGACTATTTAGGAGTTTCTTTTGGTCTGACTTCAGATCTCTTCAGGTCATTGAAAATAAGGAGCTGATATTGTCTTAGTGTAATAGTTCTAGTGTGTTGTCCACTGTGTTCAGGATCTAGGTCCTGGCTGTGTAAATATATTTTAGTTATAACTAACTTTTTAGAAATATAAATGTGTGTTAACTACCAACAGGTTTTGGAAGAAAGCAGGTTATATTCCAGTCTATATGAGACAAACTTCTGTGAGTTGAACCCTTATTCAGATCTTATATTTACCTATATTAGTCTATTTAAGCCATGGAGCACTTGTTTACATTTTGTTTACATTAACAGAATGAGCTGACTGGAGAACACTCCTGCATCATGTTAAAAACTTTAAATACTTCAGAAGAAACAAGACAAACATGGTTGGCAGCTTTTTGGAAAGGTTGGTCATTTGTATTTATTCAAAATTTATCTAGACAAAACAAAGATTTAATTTTCTTACTTTTACACTTTTATTTTTTTTAAATGAAAAATGTTAATTTTTTAAAAATTCCAGATTTTCGAAAGAGATTTGTAGCACTTTTGGCATATCAGTTTCGAGCATTCAATCCAGCTACAGCGTTAAATATTCTCCAGAATAAAAATTTGAAAACAAAAGAAGCAAGTGAGTATACTGCTGTTGTCTAAATTTATATTGAATTTGTTCCAAACTAATAGCCATTGCCATATTTAAGTAAAATTTCGGAGTTTGTTATACAGCTTAACTGTTATTATAATGATACTGGCTATAAGAACATATAAGGATGACTCTTTGATAAGTGAGACTTAATCTTGATTAACATCCGCATAGATCCACTGAGCCAATCTGAACTTTTGATGTACTTCACAACATATGACATTCAGAGGTTGGAGTTGTACTCCACCAATATGGTGGACTACCATCTTATTGTTGACTTGTTACCGGAACTGAGCAGACTTTTCTTCACAGAACGCATCAACATTCACCTCAGTGTGGTGCAGTGTGTAAGAAAGATTTTTAAAATCCTAAAATACAATGTTTCGACTAGGCTATAATTAAATAAATGTAGAAAGTGCACATTCTTGATTATAAAATGAGCAACTAAAACGCTAATTCTAATGTTAATTATGTTGTTTCTATAAAAAAATATTCTAAATGTCAAAATAAACAATCAACATTTTGGGTACATTATAAATAATGCCCGATTCAACGGCAGAGTCACTTTAGTTAGATTTAACTTCATTAATTATATTGCCCGTAATTGAAAAAAAATACTTCTTAACTTTAGAATGATAAGAAAACTACATAAATAAAAAGTTATTTCCTGCTTCTGCTGGCATCTTCAAAATCTTGTTATCGAGACTTCAGTTATGCACATAAATGTATTACAGTTAGTTTGCACGACCAGACACAAAAATTTTCAGGTACATAGGATTGTAAAGGCATAATAAATTGCTGTAACATTGCCAGCATACATGTTTCAGAGTATTCTGTTATCGCTGGGTCTGCAACATAAAACAGTTGAGGAAATAGAGAAAGACATAGAGCTGCCCGCTAATCAGATTTTAGCTTTGTTCAACAGAACTATCAGAAAATTTGTACAGGTAAATTTTCTTCATATAATATTGTCTCAGTTATCTTCTGGCTTTTGCCTCATTGTCCTCTTATTTTCACACCTTCTTGCTCAGTTTTTTTTATCAGTTTACCTTACACATTATTAAATAAAGTTACCTTTTGAACCTGCAACCCACTAGGCAAGTGAAGAAGAGTTCTCCTGTTTCTGTGACCTCGGCCCTAACGTAAATAAGTTACCCATCAGAGTTTAGTGGACTCAGGGAAGTGCTACAACTCTAGTCAGGACTTGGGCTTGACTTTAGGGTTAAATTTCAAATGCTCTACCATTTGGCCATGCCATCCATTAACAATAGTAAATGTAATTAAAAGGTGCCCAGTCAATTTTTTATGTTGCGAACAGTATTAGATTTCAGGGATAAAGGGGATGCACTCAACTGTGCTGTCTCATTACAGTTAGGCATTAAATATGAATGTTTCACTGTATTTTAAATACAAGGGTTTTGTAATAGACTGAAGTAATTGTTCAGCAAAATATGAATTTTTTAATTGTTGTGGTATATTTTCAGCATTTTAATGAAATTTTAGAAAAAGAAGTTGAAGCATCCATTGGAGAGAAGAAAGAAATTGTGATGGATCCATTGAAGAACACAATGGACCAAGAATTGGTGCGCATCATTTATATCAGTTGATAATTCATATTTATTTTGTAAAATTCCTCTCAAAGGTTGATAGATAAGGAAAATGATTTTTTAAATGGTGGTAAATAAAACTGTAGAGCAGAGATTTCAATAGATGAATGAATGCTAGGACTAGGACAAAGATTTATTAGATACATCGTAAACTAGTTGCCCCATACCCAACAGTAACAGTGTATCTATTTGGTATACCTTGCATTATTTAGCAAAAGGGTAAAATGGTTTTAAAATTTACTGTCACCTTTTTTTTTTAGATTAACTTTCTAATTACTTTCCACTGTCATCAAAAGGTCATGATTAGTTACAGTTTGTGGAGATACAATTTTTTTTGTGTGTTTGTTTTCAGAAAGAAGCTGGGAAAGAATTCAAAGAGCAACACAAAAAGGATGTTGCCAGCTTGATTGGGGCAGACCTTTCACAATATGCTATTAAAGGATCAGAGTGTGATTGGAAAGATGCACTAAAAGGGGCTGGGAAATCAATAATCAGTGTTAAAAGGTGAATTCTTTTTAAGTAATAAATTCTTGTCTTGCGCCCTCTGAGATTTTTCTAATGATAAAATAATTTATCAGGGTGTATTAGCAATTCAATAAACCTTGATCTCGTATGCTCCCCTTCATGTTGTAAATTACCAAAAGTAATCATTAAATAGTCAGAAAGGCTGTAAGTGTAAAAGAAAACACCTGAATTGAGATGGAAAATCTGTAATTAGAAGTCAATTACATGTTATAATTTTTACTTTTCAGCCACTTAAACCAGAAACGTAAGCTAGTTCAAGATGCTGAAGCTGAAACTAAACCTGGTAAAAAGAACAAGAAGAAGCATAAAAAGATGTCATTGTAAATTTCTGTGATTAAAAAAATTTTTTATCATTCGGCTTGTAAATAAAAAGTCAATTTTAAATTTGATAGATCTACTTTTATTTGTAAACAAGAACCAATTTGAGAAGAATTTGTGCAGCAAAAAGCCAGTACATGGATGGATAAGAGACAATTTTTCTTCTAACAACTTCATGTCAAAGCCTAATCTCACTATGTTGACATCTATCATTTTGTGAAAAAGTATAATCCAGATTTTCCTATTCAAAGAACATAAAAAAAAGACTATACACCCATGATTATGTTGAGACTAGTAAATCTAAGATACATTTAAAAAAAAAAAAAAAGGAGTAAAATGAGCTTTCTGCACTGCTGGTATAAAATGTTTACAAGTCTGTAAAACTGCTCAGTGGTTTTTGATTAATAGAAAAAAAGAACATGACAAGCATGTATACATCTTATTTATAGTGTTTGTCAAGTACATATACTATTCTAGATTCCAGCAAAAAGTTCAGAAATGACTCCCATTTTATTTAGGTGAGGGAAATGTGGAAAAAGATAACATAGTTGATTTCACTTAATCAAGACACATTGTATAAAGGTGTTTTGGCCTAATTAAGTAGTTTGTCCAAAAATGCAAAATAAAATAGGACTAGCTTCAGGGTATACCCATAAATGTCAAATACCACATCTGAAAGTATAGGTTGAGAATTTTTTTTTTAATGGTGAAAAATCACCCTCTACTTATTTCACCCTATTCCCTTTAATTGGAACAACTGAGTTTGGCTTCATTAGAACAGGCAGATTTTCTAGTTAAAAAAGACAACCTAAAAATTCTTACTTGAATGAAAGGTTTCAGGGGTAAAAAGTATTAGTAGCGTCTCTAGGTAAGAGATGAATGCTCATTTACTGCCCAATTTGGTCATGTGACTTAAATCAGCCTATCTCAGATAATACTGTATCTAAAGCAATACATTTAACACATGTGGCTATACAGAGAGGGTATTAGAGTCCTTATCTTGGGCTTTCAATTCATGAGTGTGATTGGAACATTATGAATTGGGTCTTTGGGTTGGATCTGCTGTCAATGCCTACCAGTAAAAAAAATACGAAGACACCAGCCAGATTTGTTGTTCAGTCTAGATAAACTGCTGCCTTAAATAACAGGTGCCCTGATTAAGCGGAATTGACTATATGGCAAAACCAATTTTAAAATTCACATGCAGTTCTATTAGTTATTGTATGTCCTCTTTTCCCCACCCAATATACTAAAATAAAATATCAAATACATTTGTTAAATTCCTTTTGAATAAACTTACATGAGTAGAACAATAGATGAATTGTATCAACCAATGTATAACTTAAATCAACTAAACAAAATTATGACAAGACCACAAGCTTAAACCACCTAATTCTACAAGATAGATAATAGAAAAAAAAAACAACTATACAATCAATGAAGTACTGGATTAAAAATAAAACATTGAAAGTAAATCTTTGCATATTATTGATGAGCATTCTGTTATAAATAGCCAAAAACTATCTACATCTATCTACATTCCCTACATGAAACAAACAAATCTAATTACCATCATAAAGCAGCTTTGTAACTGATAAAACAAGGTACCACCAAGTTAGTCATGTTGGTTGTACATGATGCTGCAATGAAACTGCAGGTTTGTAACTAATCTACCATTCCAGTACTGGAACAACAGAAACATTCATGTTTACTCTTACTTGTTCCTCGTGACTAAAAGACAAAGAAAAACATATTTCATCACAGAGTCTTGCACAGCCATTGTGAAACAAGTTTGTACAGTGTGACCATCCTTAGACATGGCAATAGCAGGCCAGCGTTGACATCAAATATTGCCTTCAAGGTTCTTCTTCCTGGGTCTCCAGCAGCAGGGATGGAGCAGATGTAGGGACAAGAACAGTACACATTAGATAGCAATAGACTAACTTGCAGCCACCCCATAGCTTTCTCTCAATACAGTGTTAAAGCTTAAACATTTCTGAAACATGTTTAACAGACTAGGGCTTTCTTTGTCTTAAGGGATAACTAGTTATCATTCAGCTTTTCAAATCTCTAAATCCATCTGTTCAATCTACACCTATTTTCATTCTAAACCTATTTGTTCATTGTAAATTTTGATACTAGTTCTGGGTGCAGAGAAAAAATCCTGATTAAACATGTTTTGATGTAGTTCCTAGCCTCCAGAGATGTGCCATTGCAAATATCAGCAGTAAGTGGAAAGATACATCAAGATGATGATAAACTCTGATACTAATGCAAATGGCTAATATTTTTAAATATTGTAGAACAAAATAGTTTGTTCGACGAAAATAATGAAGTTAGAAAAATAGCTTTTAGCAATTGAACATGAGTAGTTTGAATCACATTATAAAAAATAAGACACTGAGAAAAATAACAATAAAACATGTTTCAGATGGGTAAATCAGTCAAAGCACCAGTTGAACAAAAAACAGCTGGTAAAAAAATAGGATTTAATAGCAGTCACACTGTTGACAGGTATAAGAAATATTGTCCACAAAATTTCAAACTTTTAAAAATAATTTCAATATCACTTTAAATGCTACAGCAATAAAAAAAATAATGCTGTTAAAATTTGTATATCAGCACAGAAATATTGGAACAAAAATCTAAATGCACTCATCCACTCCAACATGTATGATGCTACTTACAAACTAAATGCCTTACTAATGCAAACCTGCACTGCTGCCAAAGCTGGAGGTCTCAGTACTAAAGTGACAAGTATGTATATTTTATAAAAAAAAACGTTGAGTGGGCAGTGTTTTAAAAAACTAGGGTTAATTTTTTTAAACTAATGCTAAAATTACAAAACTCCATATAATATTTCTGATTATTTTGGACTTTATTAAAAAGCTCTACTTAGACAATAAGATTAAAAAATATGAAAATGCTTTAAGGTAAATAAAGCAGAGAGCAATGCATTAAAATGTGTACAACATTTAGCACCATTTAATCCATGCTGTGTTAACAACATGATAACTTGTTTTTATTTTTAAAATTTTTAACCAATCATTGTTTACTTAGTGTAAATTTTTACATGACAGTCATTGGAAGAACTGCAAAGGAAAATAAAATAATTTTTAAAGCTGACTAGAGTTTTTAAGTTTACAGCTAATCTGTCAAAGTAGATTTTTAAAGCTGTTTTCCCCTCCTCCTCAATGACCCCCTTATAAAAAAATGTCCCTCTCTATGTTTGGAGCAGGTCAGGATTGCTTTCTTTGCTCCATCCCTGCAGCTATATAGGAAAATAAACAAAGGACTGCATAGCATATCTGGTCAGCCTGTAAAAAAAATTTAAAGAGTGTATACTCACATTTTTAGAAAATATAAAATAAAGAAACAGTAAAAGTTAAAATTTGTTTAAATTAAGATCAAAATATTTTCTATGTAAATGATATCTAAAGTAAATGTGTACTTTATTTTAAAATTCTATAAACAATGTGGTAAAGACAAAATATGTTCAGGTCAAGATTTAACTAAAATAAATTCTGCAATAAAAAGAAGTCAAATTTTAATAATCAACAAAAAGGGGAGAGAACAGATTTCTCCAACATGCTGGTAGGGTTAGTGGTTTAGGAGATTGCTGATCTAATAATATCACCCTGTGGCCAGTCAAAAGCGTTACTTCAGAGGGGATACAAAGATAATTTCAAGCTAAAAAATGACTTGAATTGTTAACATCTTTATCTGCCATCACCGCAATAGTTGACCATTACCTCCATAAGCTTTCAAAATTAGTGGGATTTTATAAATACTAGCCTACATTTAGCTAAGCTTAAGCTATGAAAAAATTACAGCATTATCCTGATAAAAAGGTTTAACACACTTTCTTTAAGACAGATATGGATTATAATGCTGGGGCTACTAAGGCAGCTTATTTAACTGAATTTGTTTTAACTTCAGACTTGCTAGCTGGTACAAACTATTTCCCTCAACAGAAGCTACAGATTTCTCAGTACCATGACCTTTGTACGTGACAAGTAACATGCCCAACACGGACAAGATATACAAATTGAAAAATGCTACACAACACTCTGAGATCAACCTTGATATGTGCATAGCTCCAAAAATAAAATTAATTTTGTTTGCTGATGGATTTTATAGTCCTGGTGTGCTCAAGAAAAATTGAACTTCTTTTAATTTTGTCCCCATCATAATTTGAAAACTTTAAACTGTATTACTGACTTCTCAAAGTTACAAAATGACATCAAATGACAAAGAAGCAAGTTGTGTACAACTTTCAATAAAATGGTTTCTATTAAAATTAAGTTTTACTCTTTAAATGTGCCAACAGATAAAAAGCAAAATTAAAAAAAAAATCACTACAATAAAGAATGAAAGCTAGTTAATGGATTTTTGTTAAATTCCAATCTTGTCTGAACCAATATTTATACATTTGAAAGAACCTCAGGTAAACAACTATCAAAAAGCAAATTAGTAAATTTTTATACAAAAGAAAAAAGAGAAAATATAAAAAAACTTAGTAATCCCAAAAAGCTTTGTTAGTTGCTAATTTAAAAACTGGAAGCTTGAACCAAATGATAATTACTCTTGATATTTTCCATTGGAGATGCCATATGTACACTTATAATGCGGTGAAACATATTTGTGATAGCTGAAGCCTGTTACAAGAACAAAGAGCAGCTCAAATAATCTGAACTTAAAAACATTTTATCTCTGTTTTAACACAGACATAAGTAGAATTTTAAAAGTGAGGCCAATTATTCAATTGGATGGAAAGAATAAGTAATTTTCACAAGTGAATGAGTATTCACAGATCACCTACAACATTAATCCTTTCAGCCATTTTGGGTTGTTTTATTTAAGATCACACACTTATTTTAATTTTCATTTAGTTGTTTTATACTAAAAAATAATGTTGTTTTTTTTTAAATAAAAATATATACTGAAATTGTGAGCTAAATATCCTAAACTAGGCCCCATAAATAGTTGCATTGCCATTTTCTTAGTTATGAATTTTAAAGCCATATACAATAAGGATGTAAAACTTGTACACTAATACTTAATTATTTTTTATCTTAATGATTACAAAGAATTGCTATGTAAAAATCTACAGCTCATTTTCGGATAGTTAGTTTAGAATTTTCCTTTGCTGGACAAGTTATTTGCACCAAAGGGAAATCTATATTTGAAATCTATTGAAATTTATTTTTTAGTGTTTTGACCCTAACACACATACACACACAAAAACCTTAAAAATTTAAATCGGTGTTGGTATTATGGAAATAAGGCTTTGTGTTAAATAAATGTCATTATTAAGGTAAAAATAAAAACTGATACTTAATTAAAGAAACCCTTGAAAAAATGCTGGCAAGGTGTAATTAAGTTAGTTTAAATACTCTGGCTATAAACTGACCAACCCTGAACATAACAAATCTTTAAAAAAAAGTGTAATGTCAATCAGCATTTTTACAATAATCAGAATAAATTATGTTCCTATCATTACTGTCAATGAAATTTTATTTTCAAGGTAAGAAGTAGAATTCAGGTCTAGAAGAAAAAGGAGTTAAAAAGATATAAAACCATATATATATAAATAGTGGTCACACAGAAACATCAACAACAGGCTATACATACCATACTGGATTTGAATTTGTGATAAATTATTTGCTTGGTTTTGGGATCTGAGAAAGAAAAAAGTACAAATTAAAATTCTTTTTGAAACATCTATGTAATATTTTATGTTAATCTCATGTGAATGAAACTAGTACACTTTTGACCCTTTAATGAAGCAGATGAGTAGTAGATAAGAGTAAATTCTCACACTAGCCACATGAGTATAACATGTTTAAGAAAGATCTTAAAGGATATTTTATTATACTTTTAATTATTACATAATTTCTACTAAAATGATACAGTAGATATTAATTGAGTAAAATATTTGGTAGCCTTTTCTTATCTCAACCAAAAACTCCCTTCACCAACAAAGCAAGCCATTGAAATAAAAATGTGAATCATTTGTAGCCAGGAGCATCATGCAGGCTCAGAGAAATATTAAAAACTTGGATTAGATCATATCCTTCTGACCAGTCCATTTACTACAAGCAACCTCAGCTGCACAACTTTTATATCAAGTCTTTAGCATAATTTATTAAATCTTAGTAAACAAATAAATTTGACATCTTTTAAAAATAGATATAGTTCATTGAAAATTAGTTAACTTTTTTTTTCTCTTTAAAATAAAAAAAATTTATCAACACAATTTCTTAGGAAAGCAATTCTAAAACCATAATTTTGATCTTTCTTTATATAAAAACAAGACTAATTACTTAAGTTATTTAAGAATATTCATTTAAGTTAAACAATGTAGTAATAAAATATAATTAATAAAGAAATTGTGAAAACAAATCATGTCACTTCAAAGCCTGTGCAAGAAAATAAAAATAAAACTTAAAAAAAGAAAAATGAAGCAGTTGTGGGCCTAAATCTAGCACTGATATAGAAAAGCAACAAACACATGATATGCAAGGTTCTGTGTAGCTAGAACATCCACTGTCAACTAGTGCTTTTAAGCAAAGGAGGGGGAAATAACTCTCACCAAGATTTTTTTTTAAACACCCCAAGCAAACAAAAGTTGCAACAAGAGTTGTTTTTTTACTGGTGGGAAAAATAATGAGAATAAAAAGCACCATTCTTACCAAACTCTTCTAGAACAAATATTCCACCTTTCTGTGTGAAACATTTCCGGATCCTTGCTAGCTCAATAAACAACTGAAATAAAAACCAGTTTACAGAACATAACAAAACAGAACAGAAAGAAAATAAAAGCACTAAGACAACACTAAAGTACAATCTAAGGTAACATGTACACATAAATGACAGGGATGAGATGTGAGGAGAGACTCAAGTCAAAGAATGAAAGATGATCACAGAGAGCCAGGAGAGGAGAGAAACCTGGGTCAGCCTGACCCACAGCTTTGGGACTCCTTTCTAACTGTTGACCTCAATTATCAGCATTCTTGTTTACATTTTTAAAAAAGCAACCTATATACTGATACCCTGGCACTGTTTTTAATTACCATAAGAAGAAAATAAGAGCATATATTTGTTGCTTTGATTGGTTCAGTTTAGAGATATGTCCATGTCGTCCAGTCAGCCATGACCAAATGATGCTGGTTGTGATGACATCACACATCATTTGATCAAGAAAAAAAAAGAGATAATTCACAAGGGTCAGAAAGTAATAATGCCACTGGATAATTATTGTCACAAATCACCAGACAACAAGAAAGGCGAATGGAAGCCTAAAAATAGATTTGCTCAAAGTTAACAGACTGTGAAAAGGAAAATTTACTGTTCTAAAACTTCTCAGTTCATATTTTAATAAATCTAAATTATTTTATTCTTATAAACATTAAATTGTACACCTTTTTTTTTTTTTACAAACTTGAAATTTGAAATGTTTAAGCTTAGAAAATGTGTGTCCTTTAAAAAAAACTTTAAATAAGCTCACCTGACTATACTTAATTAAGGGATTTAAGAATAAGTAATTTGAGTAATTGACAGACTAGTAAATTTCAAAATTTGAGTAGTATTTCTAAAACTTGTGATCATATCTAATGATTGTAAAAAGATCTGGTTAGAGATAAAGAGAAGGAAAGATGTAAGTGCATGCAATACACAACATTGACACAGGGAACTTCAAAGCAGAACCAGGGAGAAAAACCATCAGCATTCTTTATTGTTAAAGGTTAAAATTGGCCTAGGTAATTCTACCTTAGATTAGAGATGATTTTTTTTTAGGTTTTATATATATATATATATATATATATATATATATATATATATATATATATATATATATATATATATATATATATATACATACACATAATTCTAATTTCATAACCAATTAATTGTAAAAAGAATGCTAATAATAATGTAATATGCAATAAATAAATAAACTACACATCCAGTGAACTACACAGGGATGTTACCGACAGGAGCACACCACTCTTTCTAAACACATTACTAAATTACATAAAATAACCAAATATTTCATTATTCACTGTGCTTTGTTTTTAAATTTACAAAAGGGGAGTAACTCATTACCTCAAACTCCTGAAAGCCATAGTGGAAAGGAAGCAGGAAAGAGTTAAGACAGACACATTAGACAAATCTTAACATAATTTATTAAATGAACAAAATCAATATTAATCTAGCTATGTCAAGGATTAGTTTTCCTTTTACGTTTTTTAAAAGAACAAAGGCACATATTTTAAAGTAAATAATGTTAAAATAAAAATTAATATATCCTTATGCAATACTTCATGTTAGTTACTTTAAAAAATATTATGACATAAAATAATAATCTATTATTAGCCAATTGAGCTGTCAGTCTATTGTCAAAAGAAAAGAAAAAAAAACAAGACAGCAGGTTGGAGCTTTTGGTTCGCTGCTCGCTGAACTCAATCTTGTATTAATACAATCATCCTATTTCTTGTATCAATACAATATAGTGAATTCCTCATTAACCATGACAAAAACAAACAAAACAAACAGCCAAAAACTCCAGACAAACAAAACTTGCGGCTTGAAGTATTTGGCAGTGAAAATTTAGCAAGGGATTAAAATGACTTAAAGTGGCCCATAGCAATTGTGCTATTTGTAAAACGAAATGGACACATCAACAGAAACAAAGCATTCAGGTGGTTCAGAACATTTGGAAAATTTAGATAAAATAGTGAAGAAATTCTTTCTGATTGCTATAAATAATGTGAAAAGAGAAACAGTGAAACCTCACTAAAGAAATCTAGATAAGGAGAACATCAAAGCCTCACAGCTTGTCCAAATAAACTCAGACAAGAATACATTATTTATAAAGAGTATAAAAATTAAGACATACAAGAAAAAAAATTTGATAGAAAATAATTACAATCCAATTAAACTTTAAATAAGCTAGCACTGCTTTAAAAATACGTAAAAACTTTTTTTTTAACTAAACAAATGCATCATTTATTTCTGACCAAAGATTGCATTTTTTCCTAGCACAAGGTGTCTGAAATGTTAAGATAAAAACAAATCATTCTATCAAAACACCTGGATAAATTCTTTTGTTAATGTACCAAAGATTAAATGAGAAAAATTCTTAACCAGTGGACCAAAGAATAAGTGAGTGCTGTAGTGGTTGGAATATTCTGCTGGAACTTGTTCCATGCAAACACTACCAGATGAAAAATGCTGGCTCAAACAGATAAATAACTGGTTTTAACCATTTTTAATGGAGCTTTGCTTAGGTAGTCACATTTCAAAGGATATTTACAGGATAAGTGAATCAAGGAAAGCTCGTTCTTTAAAGTCATTGGATAAGTTCTTAATTGTTATTATTACTGTAGCATCTACTTGCCAAACAGAAATAATTCTATTTTGGAATGTAATGAGGTCAAGATAAAAATATCATTTGCTCCTTTGCTTGATAATAAAGTAAGAAAAAGTTCAATCACTAGGAAAAGTTACAAAAGTAAACATGCTTGACACATACAAAAGTTATTAAAAATATATTTGCCGAATTTTCAAATCCAAAAAAGAAAGAAAATATAGTAGAAAAGCAGGCAGCTGTATGTTGTATAAGAAAATTCTAGCTGGTGTGAATAAGATGGTAAGAAAAAAATGGCTACCCTTGACCAGTGAGTTGGTATTGATGTGAGACCAAAACTCAAGTGTGCCACCTGTCACAATACAATAGTGGGAAACAGAAAAAGTTACAAGTCACCAAGGGTTATCAATGATAAGAAACAAAACAATATGAAGTTGTATGAAAAAGTTGGAATGGAAATGTTTTGAATGCAGCCAACAACACTTATGATTCTTATCTAGTATAAAGCTAATCATGTTTTTGGACAGAAGCTTCAAGCAACCCATCATCACTTTGAAAAAAAAAATGTCTTTAAGAAGAAATTGTGAATACAGCTTCTAATAGCATTTCTTCATTAAAACAAAACATTTTAATCCATTTTTAAGCATGTGGTTATTGACAAAATCTAAAATAATCCCCTTTTTGCTGATTTGCTTGATAAGTAATTCACATCTCTCCTTTTAATAGTTTGGTAGAGACAAAAAATAAGAAAGCTGCTACCATCAAAAAGATATTTACATTTGCTTCTATATTTTTTACTAGTTTAATTATATATATATATATATATATATATATATATATATATATATATATATATATATATATATATATATATATATATATATATATATATATATATATATATATATGTATATTTGTGTCTGTGTATGTGTGTATATATATATATGGTTGAAACATCACTTGTGGTGTTTATGTGAAAGGCCTATGAAGGAAGATTAGGGTGGTATTGGTATAATACAAAAATTAGAGATGAAATATCCATTTTCAAGAACATAACTATCTTTAAAATTGGTGCACATAAACATATCTTAACTGAGCTGTTGTAAACTCAAGAGTGACTGCATTACTATACAGCAATGATGGGTTGAAAAAAAGGTTATTTAAAAAATAACTGCAAGCAACTCCTGAAATATGCTGGTTTGGGAGGGGTGGGGGAGAGACATAAAATTGATTAACTAATACAGTCCAGGTCAAACAATGCCTTTCAGGCAAGAAATTGAAAAAGGGCAATATTGAGAACTAGAATAAAAAAATACTAAGTATAAAATGAGTAGGTTAAATAATCTGGCACATAACATATACACGAGACTTGGCATTACATCACCAGAAGCTTTCACAAATGCAGTCATACAGAATAGAAAATTGCACACGACTCATGTCAACAAGAAAATGGGTTTTCAAAAAAAAAAAAAAAGTTGAATGAAAAGAATGATAACAATAAAATGTATTTAAAAAATGAGTTTGACACAGCGAGCAGGAGGCACCAACACAAGACTGAAAGATCAAGTAGGGAAAACATGTACAGAAACCAGTCCAGTCCTAGTCCCCCAGCCAGCCTAGCTGATACAACCTAGATGACTATTTTGATAGATTAGCTGCAGTTTGTCTAAGCAACAGTAGAGCACATGTACTGTCCTGTCACCAATGGGAGATGATTCAAGTGAGCAAGCAGAGAACAACCAATGCACAAGGAGATTGTAGAACAGACAAGTTTTTATGGAAAAGATGGATTGTCTTATACGTGTGCTAAGTCTAAGACGAGAAAAAAAAACATTTAATGCATATAAATTCTTGCATCCTCAAATTATTTGCTTTAACACAAACTGGACTAGATTTTATCATCTAAATATAAAGGACATTTACAGTTTGATATGTTAGCAATACTTTATTATAAATAATTTTTCTTCTCCTTATCAAATTAAATCTTTGATACTTTAAAATATTTTCAACTTTTAATATTAACAAGTGAATATATAATACTAAATGTATTTAATTAGCTGACAGTAAACTATCATTGAAACATTATCTAAATGCAATTAAAAAATCAATGAACTGAGACAAGCATTCAAATGACTGACCTTGCTATTCTGAAGGAGAAGACCTATCCCTTCCATACATACTTGTAACAGTCCCCCTTCCTTTGTCTTGAGATCTTGGACAGGAAACTCTCCTCCAAGTTCTGGACCTAAACAAATGTTTGTCCCTTCTTACAGGCTGCTCACATAATAGTCATGTTATATGTTACAACATGCTCTTGGGTCCAATAATTAACTATTTACTTATTACATATTAAACGTATAATTAAGTATACATTGAGAAATGTACTGTTAATATGAATGAAATGTTGCTACATCAAGAAATGTCTTACGCAAACCTGGAAGACGTGCTGCGTTTCTACTGGCTGCTTTCTCCATTGATTCTTTAACAGAGAAGTAGAGTTCTCGGCACTGTGGATACATGGTCATATTAAATCGGATATCTCTAACAACCTATCACAACCAAAAGCTATTTCTTGTCTATTCTGCATTTTAAAATGTTTAAAAAATGTTTCATTGGGTCAATACCAAGGGTTGGCATCAAAGTCTGAATGGCAAAAAAACTTTACTTTTTTTGTGTAGAACTGGTTGAGCTGGACCTTGTCCTGGTTTTTCCTCCACAAACAGAGCACCTTGGTTTTGGGGCAGAAGGTCATGTTGACCAGCTTCTCAAACCACCAGCGGTCATGGATGGCCCCAGTCACACTCCGTAAGAGGAGGCAGTCATCACAAACCTGCAGGGTTGAAGGGGGAGGGAGTACAGGTCCAGTTTTCAATCAGTTGAACCCACTAGAGGGTCAAGGTCAAAACAAATCAAGCTAAGGGCACTAGGACACAAGTCTAGTAAACTAAGGCTGTACCTCCATAAAGAGCATGTCTCCAGTGTTGTCTGTACCCCAATGGACTGTGAAAGATTGTTTCTGCATCCTCCTGCTGCACATGGGTTTCAGATCAATATCATTGCCATACTGTAGGGGAACAATTGGGTAATTAACTCATTGCTTTCAGATCAATATCATTGCCATACTGTAGGGGAACAACTGGGTACTGTAACTCATTGGTTTCAGATCAATATCATTGCCATACTGTAGGGGAACAATTGGGTAATTAACTCATTGCTTTCAGATCAATATCATTGCCATACTGTAGGGGAACAACTGGGTACTGTAACTCATTGGTTTCAGATCAATATCATTGCTATACTGTAGGGGAACAATTGGGTAATGTAACTCATTGGTTTCAGATCAATATCATTGCCATACTGTAGGGGAACAATTGGGTAATGTAACTCATTGCTTTCAGATCAATATCATTGCAATACTGTAGGGGAACAATTGGGTAATGTAACTCATTGGTTTCAGATCAATATCATTGCCATACTGTAGGGGAACAATTGGGTAATGTAACTCATTGGTTTCAGATCAATATCATTGCCATACTGTAGGGGAACAATTGGGTAATGTAACTCATTGGTTTCAGATCAATATCATTGCCATACTGTAGGGGAACAATTGGGTAATGTACCGCATTAGTTTCAGATCAATATCATTGCCATACTGTAGGGAACAATTGGGTAATGTAACTCATTGGTTTCAGATCAATATCATTGCCATACTGTAGGAACAATTGGGTAATGTAACGCATTGGTATCAGATCAATATCATTGCCTTACTGTAGGGGAACAATTGGGTAATGTAACTCATTGGTTTCAGATCAATATCATTGCCATACTGTAGGGGAACAATTGGGTAATGTAACTTATTGGTTTCAGGTCAATATCACTGCCCTACTGTGGAAGAAAATAACTGTAATACAAACATTCAGAAATAACAATGGCCTACCAGATGCTGAATGTTGTCTAAAAGGTTGTTGATGTCTTGACTCTGTACAAGACCAATGTGAGATTTGCCCAAAAGGCGCCTGATTTTTTTCTTAATTTCATTCTTTGGTACCCTCATCATCAGCATGAAAGCAGCCTGGTTGAACAACATGACAGCCAGCAGCCTATCTTCATCATACTCCAGGCGCTTCTTTTCTGCATCACCAAGGGAGTTGTACCTAGGGGTGATGATTGCAAGTTTTACTATCATTAATAAAGAACTTCCAACACCATACAGCCAGTCAAATGATGAGAACAGAAATAGATCCATTAATTAAAATATGTACTGTAAAACTAATTTATGTCTGTAGATCTGACCTCTCCATCATCTCCGAGGGCCGCTGGTCCATCCCAATGATGTCCCTCTCTTGAGCCACAGCGTCCAGGAACATGTCCTCCCAGAACTGCATGTGATCCCAGACTCGGGACCGGTCCTTCCCCACCAGCTCCTCAAACAGGTACGTCCTGGCATGGGCGTTCTCAGCAGTCAGACCAGCAGTCCCAATGTGCACCAGCTTGCCCTCGCGGAACCTGTACCCTGAGCTGTAGGCACTCTTTGTGCTCCAAATGCTGGAAGATCGACTATGCCTAGGGTGCATGTTTCCTGGCTGTTAGGAAAACCTCACACACATTACCAAATCATAGCAGATAGTTTCAACAACTAATAAATCTCACACTTAAGTCTCAAACTATATTGAAGTTTATCAAAGAAAACACAGTAATATTATTTTTACAACATCAGTTAAGCAGACATGCTAAACTAACCCAATTTGTCTCCATCTCACTGTCTGAAAGTGCTGATCTAATGCTCTGGTGGTTGATGCGATGACGCCTTTTCTCAAAGTCTTCTTTTTCAGAGCTGGTACTGACAAGAGTGCTTGCTTCGGACATCTCAGAGTCTAAGCTGCTGAACTTGCGATCTAGCTTGCTGGTCTTGATCAGCTCCTGAACAAACAACACATCACTTCATCACAGCAGTTTGTTTTGTGACTGGTATAGCATCACAGCAGTTTGTTTTGTGACTGGTATACAGGTTATACTGTCAAGTTGTCATATATAAATGTCTAAATAGCGCCCAGATTAAACATTTAAATAATCTGTTATTTTAGATATTATTTTCATACCTTATTTTTCACCATCTCTCTCAGCATATCACCTTGACCTTGGTGAAACCGACTTTCAGGGTCAACATCAGTCACAACAATATCGCAGGAAACAGGTGCAGCTGGAGGTTGCTGTTGCTGCTGTTTCTGAAGCTGCTCCCGACTTAAGCCAGACATTTTGAGGGCAGCATTTTTATTCCAGTCTGAGGAGGTGATGAAGCCAGTGGTGTCCCCTCCACCCCCTGGGTCAGGCCTATCTTTAGGTTTAGTCTCCCTGCCAGCACTGTCCCCACTACCTCCATCATCTGATACAGACGTGATTTCTATGTTCTCAAACTCATCCCCATTTACAATCACAGGAGAACCTGGAGGTTTTAAATACTTTATTACTGAGAAAATGTCTACTGTTTTCTATCATAGAGTACAGAGTCAACATCAAACACAAGAAAACAAGCCTCTTAAGTTTCTTTTTACACCCAGCCAAATTGTGTTTAAAACTTCAGTAGTCTTCATAGCAATATTTTAACAGCATAAAAGGGTAAAAGGTCATGGTGAAATTTAAGTAAAATAATTGTATTCATGAAAAAGTTGGCAAAGCATCCGGGACATTTAAAATATCTTAATAACTAAATTTTTGTTATATTAATAATTTCTTTAAAAAGGCAAAACAAGGAAATGACAAACACAGTAGCATAATGAGTAAAAATGCTCTTTTGAATGGTGATACACATTTGATTTGTTTACCACACAACACAAAAAAAAATCACAGGGAAAAAAATCACAAAAAGGTAAAGAAAAGTTTTAAAAAAATAGTTTAAAGAGGATCAAAATTGAAAAGTCAAAACAACACCTTAACCCCCACCATAAAGAATTGATCAGAAAACTAGTACTGCTTTAAAACTAGAGTCTTGGTTAGTAAAATTAATGCTTAAACTTAATGAGTATTATTTTCATTAAAGCATTACTGTCAAAAAAGATTTCAACTAAAGGGAATCTTAAGCTATATTTGTATGAAACTATATGAGTGATAAGTAGCCATACAACTTGGTATGTAACCTAAGGACCACCATGATCAAGCAAGTGTTAGTGTCACAAGGGTGGGGGTGAGATGGTAAAAAAATGACCAGCCATGAGAGAGAAGGTTGGTCTGCATAAATAAAAGGGAAACAGGAGGTGGGTGTAAGGCAGGTGCTCTGTATAAAATTCTAATAGTACATGTTTACATAATTATTCTTCAACTATTATTTAAACATAATGTTTCCAATCTGATCTCCTTAGAAATAAAACAATGTCTTTAAAGATATTGATGTTTAAATCTAATTTTTCTAATCAACAAAACATTCTTTTAACTAATCTAACTTGATAACCATTTAGTGTTTACTATATTTTTGTCGGCCTTTTAAAAACATTGTTATTTATATATATTACATTACATTTTTTTCAATTTAACTTCTATTTAACTAGTAAATTATAAAACAACCTAAAATGTTTTTAAAATATCATTTCTTTAAAAAATAATTGTATTTCTACTATTGTATTTTCCATCCTACCAGAAACTGAACTAAGATTTAACTGTTACCCTGATCTCTCTCAACTTAGGCCACTTGCTGCACATTAGAACAGATGGTTTTCTTATACACTCAAATACTCAGACAATGTAATCATTAGAAAGACATGAACATTAAACACTAGCCCTTCTTGTATCATGCACAAACATAAGCAAGCAAAGAGAAGAGCTAGAACAAAGAAAACATGCACATCTAAAGGAGGATGTGACTTAGCCACACCCCCATCTAAAGCTACAACTTGCCTGACTCTGTGCTAGGACTAGAAGTGAAGGGTTCATTAGGGTTAACAGAGGATGCAGGAATAGTGGCGTGGGGTGGTGGAGGAGGAGGGTTCACTGAATTTGGGGGGTGCGGGTTTGAGCCCCGCTTGCCTTGCCACCACTCTGAGGAAAGGGAGGGGTAGAATGTTAGTTGATTGACCAATAAATAACAGTCAGCATCTTGAAGACAAACAAGGTGGGTAACTCTTGTACAGATGACTCATGGTTTAATGTTTAATGTTAAGGGCAGTGGAAAGCTTTTAACCATCTGGTTCAAACTTTGTCTTGCTATACATTTAAATGAAGAAGAGAAATGATAACTTTCAGCATCTGTTTTCTGCAATGTTTATATCAGTTAACAAGCATAGCTTAATGAGCAGACACAGCAGCTAAACTAAAAAGCTAACAATCTTAAATAGGAACAATTTCAGTTAGTTTTAAGTGGAAATGTCTAAGCCATTGTAATAAATTATTAGGTAGAAATTTATTAAGAAACATTAAAGTTTATAAATTAAAAATAAAGATTAGAATCAGAAATTGTATTAAATGTTAACACTTGATTAAAGAAAGCTTGAATAATTTGTTAAAGTTAGTTTTAGCATTTCATCAGATTAGTCTCACTGGCAAATCTCAAATATCTAACTAAACTAGTCAAAACCTCAGCCACACATTATAACAAAGACTAAAACAAATAGCTATCTGATCAAGATTTGTTTTCATTCATCAATTTATAAGATAACCCCTGTCCAATAAATACAAAAACTAAAAAGGACTGCATACAGTGTGAAAGAATGAAAAATGTGTCATCTCAACCCTTTACCTGTCATACCAAGTATTTACACTTAATGCATTCACAGAAAACATTTATCTAGGCATACAGAGCTTAAAATATTCATTCATTTAAATAGTTCTATAAATAATAACAATTAAAGACAATTATGCTTTCCTTTATCTGAAAAAGCTTTGCTCTATAAACTAAACTAAGTCTAGATGTTTACAATGCAATTCAAACAGCTGATTAAAAAAAAAACTTACTTGATGTGCTGATTTCATCCGACATCTTTCTGCTTGGTGAGTCAAGGCTCTCATGGCTTCCATGTAGAGACATTCTCTGTATATATAAACAAACTCGTTAGACTAAATGAACTCATTAGTAGGCCAGTAAAATGGGCTAGTCAGACACTAATACAAACCATCAAGCTCAGTGGTCCATAAAAATGATTGAACCCTATATGAATGTGACTAGTTGTGTATCTATCTACAAACCAAATTATCATCTGTGTACTCTCATATACCTCTGGTGTCAGGCTGGCATCACTTTTATTGGAAGGATCCCTGGCCCAATAGTGTGTGTGAGCTATCTCCAGCACCATGTAAGCTGAGGCCATGCCCCCAAGGCCGTGGTTGTTGATGGTGTGACCTAGACCATGTATGATTGCTTTGAGAAGGGAGAGCATACCCTTGAACACTTTACTGTTTATACACTGTAAAAAAAGAAAAAATTGTTGAGGTTTTAAGTTAACAAATAATATTTGCCTTTCATGTCTTACTTTAGTTGTAAGAAAAATGACACAAAATCAGTGAAAAAGATAGGGTCATGGTGGTTGAGTGGGTAAAGATCATGATTGCTAAGCTGAAAAGTCCAGAGTTTGAGACAATAGCTGGAGACAGAGACACATCTAGGAGAGAAAACTCCAAAATCAAACAACTGCTTCCTTGTAGTTTGTTCTTGGATGGACAAAGACTATGAAAACTAATTCAGAAAGAAAAGCAGGCTGAAATTGATGTACAACAGGTTGACACGTAATACCTTATTGTGTTGGAGAAATTCCGTTCATCATTATAATTAAGAACCAAAAAGAAGAAAAGTGAAAAAAAACATTTAAAATTTACATTAAAGTTAAGAAGGTAATAATTTTTATCAAGAGTTTTTTCATACAATGAGAGCTTATTAAAATGAAAAGTGAGGTTTATAAACATTGGAGGTAAGAAATCTACCTTCCCACATCTATGTGAAAGTCTAACTTACCACATCTTCTATGTGAAAGTCTAACTTACCACATCTTCTATGTGAAAGTCTAACTTACCACATCTTCTATGTGAAAGTCTAACTTACCACATCTTCTATGTGAAAGTCTAACTTACCACATCTTCTATGTGAAAGTCTAACTTACCACATCTTCTATGTGAAAGGCATCTTCAGAAACTTTCTGGTCCAGGTTACGGTTGAGACGACTAACAACAAAGTTGCGGTAGTTTTCATCTTCCATCAACTTGTTGATTTTACTGTTTTTCAGCCAGCTGAGACCTTTGCCCTCCAAGACACCATTAATCACTTCCTTCAAGAGCTGCTGGTTTTCACTGTTACAAAAGTTTTATCTTCAAAAATTAGTTGTTATTTTTTTAAAAGCTAAGCGTTGTTACCAATGTACGGTTTTATATTTGTTTATTAAATGATGAAATCAATACTTAATTAACTAATATGTAAAAAAATTGACTTTATTGTTAAAACAACAAAATTTTCTTTTTTTTTAAATTTAAAAATAATGAAATAGAAGTATTCTATATAAACTATTAAACACTAATCATTATCCAATCTAATGAATAAAAAGTTTTAAGAACTCATTAAACAGGATGTTATTTGGAAACACATCAAAGATGAATAAAATTAGAAAATACACTGTACAAGCAAAAGATACAACAGGTTTTAAAATGAAAGTTTGAACTTGAACTTGTAACAAAATGAATGTTAAATGAAACCTACTCACAAACCCCCAGTATAAAAAAACCCTTTTTCTAATTTTCTTCTAATGATCTCATCCACTGAAAACCTTGGCACGTCCCTGGTAATAAAATCCTTTCTATAAAGAGTGTTTGACAGTGCATCTAGTTTAACATAAATAATTTGGTTTGGGTTAGTTGAGTTGTTCAAGAATGAGACTATACTCAGACGAATGTAAGCCTTGTGACACTTTAATACATGAATGTTTCAATACTATATATTCTCAAAATACTTTCTCAATATGTCCAAATTTAAAAAGTGTGGGTCACACAAGTTTTTCTATAGTTCCAAGGACTTTGGTCAGTGATAGCCAATGATGACCAACAGTAGTGGCATCATCAAGTTTGGACAGTGGCCACTCACCTGTTAGAGTTAGCCTTGGTGTCAACAGGTGTCAACTTGGGAGCTTCTTTCTGTTTCCTGTTGGTGGCGTGTTTCACTAGACCTGATTTCTCTACCAGAGCCTTTCTGTTCCCTGGAGACACAAGCATCAAATATTTAACAGATGTTGTATCAATACTTGCATGAAAATACAAGAAAGTAAATATACAAACCCAGGGGTGTGAAACAATACAAGAAAGTAAATATAAGACAAACCCAGGGGTGTGAAACAATACAAGAAAGTAAATATGAACAAACCCAGGGGTGTGAAAGGTTTGAGTGGCACAGCTTTAGGCTGGGGAGGAACTTGTGCTGCTTGTTTGTTGCTCCCTGTGGATGGGAAAGCAAAATTTATGTTAGTGTTTTAAAATACAAGGTTAGAAGCAAGGTCTACTTTATCTTCCCATTAATTGTTCTCGTGATCCTACATTTAAGACAGCGGGTTGAGTAATATTGCAAGCCAGAAGATTATTCCTGTTCCTTTCTTAAAAACTGGTTTTTAAAAACGAACACCATTTGTTTAACAATTGTATGTTTCAGCATAATATCCAATTAAGTTGACTTTTTTTTTATTATGTTATATTCCTGGTGTGTAATTATTATCTGATATGTTTGTATAATATTGGTCTGGATGATACTGATCATTAATTAAGAGATAACTGTTATTTTTATGTCATATTTCCTTACCTATTATAAAACAGTGATGGGGCAGCTTATAATAATAGTGACCAGAGTTGTTACTCACCAAACAGCTCAGAGACAGTGCTGGTGGCAGAGTGAGCCATGTCTGTGAGCTCATTGCTTATTGTGGAGATCAAAGAGGAGGTCGATGTCTTTTCACCTTCAGACTGTCATAGAGAAAAACATGTCTTGTAGTAGACGTTCTCTAATAATTACCTCTAGAGTAAGTTGACGCAACAGTAGAAATACTATTTTATTAGTGAGTAAATATTAGTTGAAAAAGTCCATAAATACTGTTCATGATAATACACTGTGTATAAGGTATTTTCTAACAAACCTTTCCCTTCCTCAAAGGTCCACCAGAAAAGTTCCCCAGTGGAGGCCTCAGGCCTGGACTCAACTGAAGTGGTTTCTTCACCATGGGAGGTGTCATGCGAGGTGTGAAGCCTGGGGGGATATTAGGTCTGGGAGGGGGAGTCTTTGGGGACTGAGAGGTGTTGGAGACAGTCCTGGCTAGCTGTGGACTTCTGGGGGAGTTGGGGCTGGCTGGTGGTCGACTGAGGCTGGTGGCTTCCTGAGAAAAACTAAAAGAAAAAAAAATTTCTTCAACTCGATACCAACAAAAACATGAATGTTTCAAAACTAAATTAAAGGAAATGAAAGTATTACAATCCAACCTACCCTAAGTGAGCCCGAGTGTCAATAGTATTCCCAGAATCATATCTAAAGACACTTTCCTGAAAAACAAATGGTTATTCATGATGACCTACATTCAGATAAATGGAAATAAAATTTCATTTAACTATTTTAAAAAATGAGGTGGCAAACTTGACTAAAAAGTCAATGCCTTTTTTTTAAGCAACAAGTGCTATTAGAAATATTAATATAAGTGCTGCAACTAGCAAGTGTCAAGTGAGTTAACTGAAGTTAGTCAAAGTTCTAGAAGAGTTGTTTAGCTGGGTGAGACAAACCTCCCTCCCCATCTGCCTGTCCCCACCATCATTGCTGTAGGATGGGCTGGATGAGGCAGAGGAGCTCATGTCACTGTCTTCTTGTAGAGAGAGTGCTGAGTCGCTGTTAGTGGACGGTGCTTCAGGCAGATGCAGTTTACTGGGTGGGGTGTACACTTTGGACTCATCCACAGCAAATATTTGCATCTCTGGAGCAAACGCTGTTAGAGAGGCAGCCAGAGTTTTCATGCAATAAACACATGCATTCAAGGTATATGTTAGTGCACATCAAGTCTAGCAATGGTTTTCTTAACCCCTTTGCTGTCATGACTCATACGTCTTGTCATAAATACTATAAACTGTATTATATTACTATGTCTCGATTACAAAGTGATGTAATAATGCTTTATTCCTTACAGAAATACATTACTGTGTACTAAATAATATGATTAAAAAAAATTATGTGGAGGACTGTTTTGCACTCCTCTCAGTTTGGTATCAAATTGACAGAAATTTTGAATTGATCTAATTTTTTACCTGTTGTAGACTTTGTAATTGCCATGTCATTAAAAAAAATAGTGGTGGAAGAAAAATAATGGCAGCAAATTATCAAAAGAGAGGTCTGGTTCATTATTGAGTACTGTTCACTATTTTACATTATTGTCATTCAAAGCAGGACCATAAACACCAACTACAGCGAAAAGGTTAAGCTAAATCAATTTATAGGGGCCAATTTACTTCAAGACAATTGTTAAGTTAAGGGCAGGGTTATATGCGAAAAAAACTATTAGTGCAAATTGTTAATGTGTTAAATAAAAATCATGCATAAAATTAGGAAGCCACCAGAAACAATTTTTAAAAAAAGAAACTTTCTTCAGAATTAAAATTTTGATTGTACATACAGAAATTGAGTATGAGCTTTTTATTTTAAAACAAGAAATGAACTAAATTATTAATTACAGAATTTGATCTACATTAAAATTTAGAAATTCCTTACTTTATTTTGTAAATCAATCAAGTATGGTTAGGTTGTTAGAAACATGGAAGGGGAGGAGCTTGGTACTCACAAGGTGTTTCCCCTCTGATGTCACTGTTGAAGAGATCTGAGACAAAGTCACTGAGAGAAGAGTAGGAGGAGCTGGTGCTCTCTGCCCCATCACTGTCACTGCCACTTTCATCTGTTGGGTTGTCGTCACTCTGCTCCTCTGACACCGACGTCAGTGCCGCGGCCAGTGAGGAGCTGTTGTCATAGATGGGGAACTCGACCAGCTGTAGCTGCTGGGCGTACCACTTAGGCTTGTCACCAATCAGGCTGGGGTCATACACCGCTGTCTGCACGCGCTGGTAAACAAGGTTTGTGGGGCACAACGACCACTCCGATAGATATTCAACAGCCTGAGGTATCAATAGAAAAATATTCTATGTTATTAAATTGTTTATTTAAGATTTTTACATTACTTTCACTATAGCTCATTTTGTTCCTTTACCAAACAGCCTTTCAGTATTTGTTTAACAGAAACAACTGTGGCCGCCTTATGTTACTAAAAAACATAAACATGAGTAAGCAAGCAATTAGCTCTGTACTTAAAAATCAAGACCTAATCAAGGTGTACCTGTGTCCTAGCAAGCTTGGATGTAAACATTGTTTTCTCAGCTCGAGACTTGAGAAAACTGTACAGCTGAAAGGCAACCACAGGCCGAGGATACAGGCGCAGTGTCCTGGTGTGCTCAGTGAAATTCCCAAGAGTGTTGGCGGAGTTGAAAAATCTCACCTACAAGTAATCAGGGCACACAGTACCACTTAAATTAGCTGAACAGTTAACCCTAGTCATTCACATGTAAGAGTAACACAAGTTCCCATTAAAGATCTATCAAAAGGAAAGGTGAAGTAGAGTTCATGTTACTGTGACCTTAGCAACTATAATCAGCACCATACCCAGCCACCTCATCAATTCAAGTACCAGTTATAGCTAGGTGAAATCAGGAACGTCCTACCTAATGGGACATCCTACTAAACAGGGCATCCTACCAAATGGGACATCTAACCAGCCAACCCATCAGTATCCCAGGAATTAAAGTCGTGACATTTAGCTACACAACATCAACTCTATTACAGGAACACATCATACATCTGTACAAAGCCAACATTGGTGTGACCTACCATGGCAACACGAGTAGCTACATCCACAGAATCAACATCGTTCCCGTAAATCAGAGGATTGAAGCCAGTCGCTGTAGTCAAACTGTCGCGACGTTGCCAGATTTCTGGATTCTGTGCAAGAGCATCGAGGTTTTTGATTGGTTGTGGAGTCATGCTCATGCTAGCTAGAGCCTTTACCCCATGCAGAGAGAAAAGCAAAGCAAAATTTGAGTGACACCGCTGCCAAAAAATATTTCCTACTAAATTCAAAAAGGTATAACCACTAAATAAAGCCATGTGTTGAGTCCCATCAAAATTATTGTGGAAGTAGTTTTAAAAAAAAGCAATAAGATATTGGCAAAAAATTGAAAAAAATGTATAAAATGTAATTACAAAAGCTCTGAAATATTAAACTTTGCAACGCCAAAACAAACTTTATAACATTAATGTTAGGGAGCAATGACAGAATAAAATGTAAACATTTTCTATGTAGGACTCATTGTAAATACATTATTAATGGGTTTTTTTCATAATAAATTGAGTGAAATGATTCTTAATATAATCCAAATATTTCAAGTGACAAGTATAACAGTCAAGAATTATAAAAAACAAAAAAAAAATGAATAAGCTAATAATGTTGACCTTGTTTAGTATTTAATGAAGATTCAGTGATAAGACTCACAAGATGCATAGGAAACATGATAAGATGTATAAGAAATGTCCTGCAAACTTCTAACAACATATTATTATTACCCTCCCAACTCCCAAATGAAAAAGATAATATGTATCCCCAACCTATGCCAGTCATATAACCTACATGTAAGTTACCATCCATGCCTACATGTAAGCAACCAGTGCATATATATGTGTAAGCTGCCAGCAATGCTTACGTGTAAGCTGTCACTCATGTAAGCTACATGTAAGCTGCAGCCATGCCTACATATAAGCTGCCAGTCATGTAAGCTGTCACTCATGTAAGCTACATGTAAGCTGCCAGCCATGCTTACATGTAAGCTGACTCAAACTTATATGTAGAGCAAACCATCTACCAAGCAAAGTTTTATTTTAGTTTACATATTTCTTCTGACTTTCATGTAAAGCTACAAGATATACAAGGAAAACAAATAAGGTATAAAGAAAGGAACTGAAAGAATTTGTTTTTAATTGAAAAATGCAAAAACTGTTTATAAAAAAGTGTTATAAAGCAAGTGATCATGTTATTGCTCTATTTTTACCCAGTATCAATTGCTTGTCAAAAAAAAAAAGTCAGTGTCCTTGTATAAATGTAAATGAATAAATACAGTCAAGGCTGAATTCAAATCCTTATCTTAAGCAGTTGATCTGTTTTGCTTCTTAATTTTATAATTGTGTTACATTAATACTCATTATATGCTGTTGTCAGGTGTTTACACATTTAAACAGGAGCAAAAGTTATAATAAATATATCATTTTCCTACATAAAATTATCAAAATACTTGAATGACTTCAGTAAAAAACCAGCTATTCATATAATTTTGATGGTGGAAATTTAGATTTTTAAAAAAAGGTATGTTTAAATTTCATATACAAAGTTTACTTTTCAAGAATTATTTGTAATCTAAGCAACTATTTGTTGACAGTCAACTAGATGCCCAGAAAACAACTTTAAATTACCCACTTTAAATTACATGTCAATGATAATACTTCTTAATTTGTTTAATAATTAACACAATTTTTAAATTGCAATTAAACTGTGTCTAGAATAAAAAGAAAAGTTGAGGTTTGAGTCAGCTCCAGCAGTTCTAAACCCGCATCCCCGTAAAGGCCATGCACCTAGAGAATACCAATGGAACAAGGTGCAGTCATATAAAATGTGTAAATATTTTTGCTGTTTTACTCATAAAACTGTTTCCACAATGCACCCTAACTTAGTGAAAGACCAACCTACAACAAGAATTTTTTAAATCAGTCCTGATTCTGTACAAAGAGATACTAACAAAAAGAACAGAAAGGTCTCTTATGAGCTCAGTATTGTATTTTGTGGTTCAATGTGTATGTTCTACATAGTCTAACAATATTGGTGACTAAATCAAAGTAAGATAATACAAAATTCCACTTTTGATGGTAAACAAGTAAAAGTGAAGGTCACTTTATCTTACTGCAAAAGTATGAGTCACACATTAACTGTCAGCTGTTTGATTAAAATTAAAACACCAATTGTTGTCCCCATTTTATCAACAATGTTTGCAAGATTTTCCTGCTTGATATGTCAACAGTTGTCCCAGTGTGGACCAGCATAGAGAAAACATTACAGTAGCAATGATGGAGGTTCTGTTACCAGGATATTCAAATAGTAGTACCATTTGTTCATGTGTCTTAATAAATCTGTCTAAAAAATCAAATATGTACAATGAAACTTTGTATTTATGGATGTAACAATTCAACTGATTATTAGAGATACAAATCTGTAGACTGTATAATAATAAAACTAATGAACAGTTGGTGGTAACATTTATTAACTAAACACCTAAATCAATAAATGGTATTGCTCCATTATGCATGTGAGCAACATTTACAAAACCGATCAAATTTACTCTCTTTTATTCATATAAACATAACCTTTGTAATAAATACATTACTACCAAACTTCCAGTAAATATTGCTACCTCCTGGTTAGTACTTTGAAATGTTACTTAATCCTACAAGCCATCACCAAGCTGATAGTTAAAGAAAGATGGAATATGAGCTAGATTCAGCAGTTTAAAACAAGCTAGCCAGTAGTTACCTTATCAGTTATACACTGAAAGAATAATCAGTTCAAATATTGCATTAATACTGGGTTGCTGTTTTTTTTTTATATTTTAAAAAGTACTTTTAAATACACTCTGGTTAAAAAGAATCAAAATGCTCAAGTATTGTAAGTATGTGGGTAACTCATAAAAATGTTAAAATCAATTGAAACTTTCAAAAATGGAAATGAAAAGAAATATTTACAAATGAATATAAATAACTATATAATTGTTTTACTGCTCTGTTGAACCATGAAAAACTTAATATTAACATGATATTGTTTTAAAAGTAAAACCAAATCTTTCTTCTGAGATGATCAAAATGTGGCTCAAACATCTAAAAACATTTTGAAGTCTACATTATTGATTGTGTTTAAACAGTATTGCAGCAAAACAAATGTGTTAAGTTTATAAACCCCAAATCTAGAGCCAAACGTACCTGTTTCAAGTGAGTCTTCAGGGCTGTTCCCTCAGGTTCAGGTAGAGGTGGCAAGGCTTCTGCCCCAGGTGGTGTAATGATCTGATCACATGAACCATAATAAAAGCTTAATGTGGGGCTTCACCAGTTCATATTCTTCATTTGCCCTTTCAAAATTCAACCCTTTTCCAGACATTTACAAACTTGGAGGGGGGGGGATATTATATACGTATACAGTTATTTATAAAGAGAAAACCATGACAAGTAAGCCAAATAACAGAGCCCTGAAGGTGGATTTATAATTTTTTCTCTTAAACTTTTTAAAAGCACTTTCCACTAACCAGAAACATCCATGTTAAATAAACACTCCATGTGTTACACACATGACCAACTTACCTTGTTACCATCTAGATCAATCAGCCAAATATCATCCGGCAATGGAAAATCTTTCTTGTAACCAAAGAAACTGGCAGGGACACCAATGAGATAAGGTGTGGGGGCAAGCAGCAACTAGAGACAGAAAAACTCAGCTGAAATTGGATCCCAACACTAATCCTCGGGAGGTAAAACTTGCAGGTGAAAACATCAGCCCTTACCTGTTCTGCTGAGGCCATGCATGTAGGTAGGAGTGGAATGACAGGAAACATATATTCTAGAGGGTAGAGCATAGATACAAAAGCCATCACAGACATAGACAGGGCGTTGTAGTCCCTTGATTGTAAGATCACCTGCAAACAAGACAAGTTGTTTAATTGATGGGGAAACAGGTGACTTACAATTACAGTGCTAAGTATATGGATGTAGACCATGCTGACTGAGACCAACCTTGTGTTCCAGCATGATAGCAGTCAGGACCTTGAGACAGGTGTCAACTCCCAGCAACTCAAGGGGGAGGTGCAGGGGGAAATCTACCAGCCCAAACCTGGTGTTGTCTGGCAGTGCAAACATTAGGGGAAGCTGCAGCTCTTTGGGTAATACATGGACCTGTAGGTGGAGGAGGACATCAGTTAGGGGAGGCAACACATCAGGGACATCAGTTAGACAGGGGAGGCAACACATCAGGTACATCAGTTAGACAGGGGAGGCAACACATCAGGTACATCAGTTAGACAGGGGAGGCAACACATCAGGGACATCAGTTAGACAGGGGAGGCAACACATCAGGGACATCAGTTAGACAGGGGAGGCAACACATCAGGGACATCAGTCAGACAGGGGAGGCAACACATCAGGGACATCAGTCAGACAGGGGAGGCAACACATCAGGGACATCAGTTAGACAGGGGAGGCAACACATCAGGGACATCAGTCAGACAGGGGAGGCAACACATCAGGTACATCAGTTAGACAGGGGAGGCAACACATCAGGGACATCAGTTAGACAGGGGAGGCAACACATCAGGGACATCAGTTAGGGGAGGCAACACATCAGGGACATCAGTTAGACAGGGGAGGCAACACATCAGGTACATCAGTTAGACAGGGGAGGCAACACATCAGGTACATCAGTTAGACAGGGGAGGCAACACATCAGGTACATCAGTTAGACAGGGGAGGCAACACATCAGGGACATCAGTTAGACAGGTGAGACAACACATCAGGGACATCAGTTAGACAGGTGAGACAACACATCAGGGACATCAGTTAGACAGGGGAGGCAACACATCAGGGACATCAGTTAGACAGGGGAGGCAACACATCAGGGACATCAGTTAGGGGAGGCAACACATCAGAGACATCAGTTAGACAGGTGAGACAACACATCAGGGACATCAGTTAGACAGGGGAGGCAACACATCAGGGACATCAGTTAGACAGGTGAGACAACACATCAGGGACATCAGTTAGACAGGGGAGGCAACACATCAGGGACATCAGTTAGACAGGGGAGGCAACACATCAGGTACATCAGTTAGACAGGGGAGGCAACACATCAGGGACATCAGACAGGGGAGGCAACACATCAGGTACATCAGTTAGACAGGGGAGGCAACACATCAGGGACATCAGTTAGACAGGGGAGGCAACACACAACAGTTACCAGTTAAATATATCATTTAGGTCAATACTTAAATAAATTCATTCCCTTGTGTAGTGGTGTTCTTTACTGGTGCTAGGATTTGCATTCCGCCCCAAGAGGATTAATGTAGTAATACAAAATTTCGAAAAGATTACACAGGTGTAATGAAATAAGTTTTTAGAAAAAAATTATAGGCAAAAATTTTAATAAATTGAATACATGAAAACGTCCATGTATTGTGCATCATAATTATAGATGTAACTGGATTTTTGTAAGTTGCATTTATTTAAAGATATTGGCAGATGGCAATTTTATTTATATATTGGTCACACAAAAATCCCCCCCCCCCCGGGAACTACTAAAATGACGTTTAACCAGGAAAAGCCGGTCAAACCTTGAAGTCATACTACAACAGCTGTATTGATGTGTACGTTGTTTAACCTTCCCATCTGCTACTTGCCGCTCTACAATTACAGGTCATGATGAATGGAAATAACTGAGCAATAAATCTCTACACGGCAGCACAACCACAAATCAAACGGCCCAGATAGCGTGGTCAGCGGCAATGCCCGTCAGCCAGGAGAATAAATCTTGAGCTCAGTACAAGACATTTGCAGGGTGAAAAGATCGGCTCAACGTTACGTGTGAAGATCGTTCACATCACACAAACCTTTCTTTATATCGCGGCTCAACGTTACGTGTGAAGATCGTTCACATCACACAAACGTTTCTTTATATCGCGGCTCAAGGTTACGTGTGAAGATCGTTCACATCACACAAACGTTTCTTTATATCGTGGCTAAAGGTTACGTGTGAAGATCGCTCACATCACACAAACGTTTCTTTATATCGTGGCTAAAGGTTACGTGTGAAGATCGCTCACATCACACAAACCTTTCTTTATATCACGGCTAAAGATCACGTGTGAAGATCGTTCACATCACACAAACGCCTCTTTATATCACGGCTAAAGATCACGTGTAAAGATCGCTCAAATCACAGAAGCATCCGGCTAAAGGTTACGATGATTTATAGCTAAAATCAATGCTGGTTAACTTTGGTTAATGCAAAAAAAAAGGGGCGCTGCGAGGAGGCCATCTAAGGTTCAAGTAATGTCCTGCCATATTTTGTTTAACTGGATAAAATTACTCTAGAACAGGTAACATAACGCCCGACAAGAAACATGATTTACATGATAAAATGACAGAATGAAGTCGACAGATTTGATAAGTAGCGTGTGTTTGATAAGTAGACTTTCTAGAGTGTTTCTATACGTTGTTTAATAGTTTACTTATTACTGCGTTATTCTGAGATACTAGAGTGGTCCCCTGAGATATTAGATTTAATGGTGAAGTAGTAATTAGAAAATCGTAAGATGAGCATTTTACTATTAAATAACCAATCATATTTTTGGGAAAAGTATGAACATACGACAATCGTTATCTAAAAATAGCGCACGACCTGATTTCAACGCCCGATATAATCGAGGAAGACAAGCTTTCTACAAAGGTGATTTTAGAGCTATCGATAGCTTGCGTGGGAGTTAGGCTCAACACGTGTTAGAAACAAAGCTGAGAGGTTTGTTTTTTCTTTAAAAAAAAACATTGAGCAAAACAACAGTTCAATCACAGTGCAGTGAGCACCTCGGCCCACCCAACGCTTATACCTTACAGTAGTTTTTTTTTTCTCTGTGGAGCGCGGCCAATAGACGAAAGTTAAAGTTCTCACAGTGGCCAAGCTTATCACAGTTTGGTTAGTCTCGATACAACATTGAAAGAAGGATTATGCCACCCCCACCCCCTTCCCCAACATAAATGTATACACACACACACATACACACATATATATGGATATATTACGAAACAAAAATGCAGTCCAACCACGTTTCTACATTGACAAAGTGATAACAATGTGAATGTTACACTGATACCCTTGTAATTTTTAAGTGTAACGTATGAAGTGCACCACCTGACCATACATTAGCTGTAAAATACAGGGCTGAGAAAGGTCACTAAATGTTCACCAGACGTGGGTAAAACAAGTCAACTGATATTGCTAACATCAGCAAGATACTAAAGGAGAAATCTTTCTAGGTCGTCTGTTTTTTTTCCTCTCTGTTAGCCGCTGGAGGTAACCTACATTGTGGTTTAATGTGACACGTCATGACTAAACTACTCACTGGGGTAATGATGATATACAGCTAATTCATTGCAACGTTGCAGAACACGTGATTTGCTTATAATTAATGTAACCTAATTAGTAAATTAGAAAGAAGTCACCACCCCAATGCCACGACGTGTATTGAAAGACAAAGTATTCACACGTTTATTCTACACATTGTGTAGATAAGGTAAACCGCAAAATATTGTAGATTTGCTTGATACAGTCAATATACTATTCCGTTAATGTGGTTGGTCCCTAAAATCAGTCATAAGCACGATTCCCTAATTATGTAAAAAAAATTCTCTGACCATTTGACCATCGTCTAAGTTGTTATTTCTATGACTATCTGGTCATGATCTCAGATATGCTTCCTGTCTTTTGTCTGTCGGTTGTGCTTCGTCTTGAGGTCGAAACGGGCGAGCGAAATTTCGACCACTTCTAACCGGCCAATTTCTCTAAAACTTGGCACGTGGGGGTCAAGACCCGAAGACGATGCAATCTGACATCAGTATTTGATATTAATTGGATAACTGATTAATTTTTTTAAAGAATAACGAAAGTCTCCTATATATAATACAATTTTCCGCGATATTACACGCAAATGCTTCATGTTCATTTGGTGCGCAATTGTTTTTAGTAATGCAATTCTAGTGTATGAAAACAATTTAAGTATTTAAAAAATTCATCATACAAACGTTTTAATAACGTTATAATAGCAGTGTGTATCACCGTGACGACGATATGACTACAAAACCTAGCGTGTACTGTGTCACGAGGTCGGTCAATAAAGCCTGCTGGTGTGTACACAGTCCCTCAGTCACATAAATAGATCTACCACTTTTGTTTACTCGCGTGCATCACATACGCCTACGGGGCTTTTTTCAGATATTTTTTCCGGGGCAGCTCTGGAAACTTCAGGGGGGGGGGATATTAAAACTTACATTTTCTATATAAATAAAAAAAAAATTTCTATTTCGGCAGGCAGCGACGTCGTTGTATTTGCCCCCCCCCCCCTCCCCCCACAGATGACTGAACCACTGCACGCCTATCTTACCAGAAGGAAGAGGATCTGCTATGATGCGTATGGTTGGTTATTTTATGGTAATGAAATGCGAATATCTCGTATGATCTATTAGAATTATATTAAAAACTGAATGTAATTAGAACACACAGAGTTTTAGGAATGAAATTAATTTTAACATAATGCAATTAAGTAACGCCAATCAATAGAAATAATAGAATATAACCTTTTAAGAGACGGACTTGTGTGCCTGACAATACGATACGGTTTGAAACTATATTTCTCACCATACAGAGTGGGACTTGGGACTGCATTTATTTCTTTTTTAAATGTATTACATGTCCGCAATACAAACACAAATCAACACCTAAGAAGGGTAGGTGTGGGCTTGAGACTTGCACGGGTCGTGTAAAGACCACGATAAAAAAAAGCATTAAAGACCTAACTGGTTGTTAGAGTGAGTAGCCACCCAGACCCTCTTGTGGGGAGTAACCTAATTGTGTTGTAAAGCTCGTAACGTTCACTGCCACCATTTCCTGGCCTAATGGTACGGACGGTCTAAAACTAATGGATCTAAAACGACAACAGGAAGGTACGTCTGATACACAATCCGGCCATTCGTCTTGAAATACACGTCAAACATAACGTGAGAAGGACGCTGTGTTGGTTGTACATCAGATTTTATTTCACTATCAAGTGGGAGATGGGAAGACGTGAACACGCACACCTTGGCAGACACGGGACTACAATTTTATGATCATAAATAAACAAGATGTGTTGGTGTTTCTCCGTACAACATGTTTTGGCTGGCACTCACCGCGATATGGGCAGGTTAACACCGAATCGCTACGGCATTAATCTACCGTTTAAATGAATGCTATACGTATTTCATATTAAAGTTGGACGTGTCTAGAACTGGGTGAGAGAAAAAAGATGACAGAGAGAAGACAGCAGAACAAAATTAAAGTTGTATTATATAACTTTTCCCCGTGAAATTTACAATAGGTGTGACAACGCATTTTTAGGATTTTAATAGTAGTCCGATATTGATTTGTATCCACCGTTTTGCAATTATACTTTATACTATTCTTTTTGTAAAATTATAATTTTTTTTTGTAAATTGTAATAGAAATTCATTGCTATACTTAATGTTGACCGAGATCAGAGTATAGGAAATCGATAAATTAAAAAACAAAACTGCAATTTTGAGGGGAGGGGGTAGGCTGAGGCGTGACGTCATTTTAGGGGTGGGGTCTGGATTTTAGAGGAAAGGGGGGGGGGGGGAATCGTCCAAAAAAAAGCGTGGTCAGTTGAGTGTACCAACTGTAACATACAGCCTGTGTGATCCTTCCAGACTGCCTTATTCTGGATTTATCTTAACAGAAGAAAAAGCTAACACTAAGCCAACTATGAAAGCCAACATTGTACGGTTTTAAAGACGTCATAACCGCCCACTGGTTTGTGTGGTAACCGCCCACTGGTTTGTGTGGGCGTGGCAGGGTATCATATTTACATCACACACAGTAGCTGACATAAACTTATTGCGTGATATTGCGCAATGTGATCAACACACACGTGTATAAAAATATTGCAGTGATTGTTCTACTCGACCCATCTAATTTACATTACAATTATATTCAGTCCCCTCAATGTTTTATCATTTAAGATTGATATACATCTCCCCTCCCTCACCATTAAAATGATGCCAACACCCAGCATTTATATAAATAGCTCCCCCCCCCCCCCCACCCCAACGGTTTCTCAAATCGGTGACACATTGTATTGATTTACTAGTGAGGTTAAATTTAGATGAGTCTAGAGAGCAACACAAAGTAATTGGTTGCTATACATCAGATACCCGGCCTCACAGATCCCATTGATGTAAACATATGAAAAAAATGGCAAAACAATGCATGCCATAAATGATACAATGATATTGATATATCTACTCTATACAGATTGAAAAAAAAAACATCTGTATTACAATTTGTCTACAAGCAGGGAGTGAGAAATGTAGTACTTTTCTATTACACCTTAGAGGGGTTCTTCTTATTAGCAATACATTATTAGTATTAATCAAATTATACTGGTCTTTTTTTATTTATATAAATAATAGTATCCATGTATTGTGATACAGCCTGCCTAAACAGGAAAGTTCAAATAACAAGTTTGTTAACAGGAAAATTCAAACAACAGCTTTGTTAACAGGAAAGTTCAAATAACTTTGATAACAGGAAAGTTCAAATAACAACTTTGTTAACATGAAAATTCAAAGACAAGTATTTAATGGTAGTGATATAGCCTGACTTGCCAACATGATATCAAAAGAATAGTTTTTGTAACACAACGGTTTGAATCTTCAATTTAAACAAGATCTTACATCTTGAGAGATCTATTCAATGTGAAAGGGAGGGCAAGTGAAACAGAATTGTATAGATAAATATTAAAAGCATTATTGTTTTGATTAAGGCTTTATTAATTTATTGTATAATTTATTGTATGAGTAAAATACTTTTTCAGACCTGCAGAAGAAGTACAGTTCATGTTTCTTTGACCTCAACAAATGCAGTGATCATGTGATCAGCAACATGACCAGCCTCCTTAACCAGACTCAGTGATGACCTCTGAGTGAATAAGAGCCATGGGAACCAGGCCCAATGTTGGCAATAGTGTGTGCTACATTTAGAGCATGCTGATCCATGGTGTTTAATGTGTATGTAATAAAGCAGTTAACTCACTTCAACACGTGTCTTCCCTGGAACAGGAACTGGTGCACTGAGTAGCCTTAAAATCCAAGTTTCAATTTCTCGAACTTCATGCATTACAAGGGAAGATATATTCTCACTGGTTTGGCCAGTAAGTACACCCCACACAGTATCTCTGGGGAAAAACACACTATTTAAAACATAACTCTCAACAGAGTTTGACAATTATTCTGATATAAGAAAAAAAAAGGCTAGAAAATGTGCATAAGTTTTATCTGAAAACTTTGTATAAATAAAATCTTACCTTGCTGTTGCTTTAGATCCACCCACTCTTCTCACACAGCTGCGATCATGGCATGCTTCTATTAAACGTCTCAAAATGAAGAGGCACTCACGAAAAGTTGAGAAGAATGGATGATGACTCACTATACACAGGGAGGTCAAAGTATTATTTCTGACCCGCGTCTTCCTTCGAGCCCTGCTAGGGGAACGTGGTCTATCACATTCAGACGAGCTTAGAGTTTCAACAGAATGATTTGAGCCAGTGCTAGATTTTTCTACTTTTTGCCATGCCTCAGAGGAGTGAGCTCTTTTTTCAAAAGGTCTGTAAAAATTTATGCAAATACCAAAACGAACCAGCCCAGAGTCTTTCTCAGTCAATGTAAAGACAAAAGATGTTGTTTCGCGGAGGCTCATGCGTTTGGGGCCTACACTAATGCATCCCTCTGGCTGGCAAAAAAATATCACATCGTTGGGTAGTGGAAAGTCACGGTGATCTTCAAGAGGATAACGCCGCAGTAGTTCGGGTGTCTGTGACATCTGGTTATTACCATTTGGAAAACGACATCCGGCAATAACCAAATAGTCCAAAAGGCGTGGGGAGAAGTATTTCCCTGTATCGCTCATGTTTGAGTTTGAAATTGAAAATAAATTTCACCAAATAATCAATAGGAAATAAGGCACTTAAATAATGTGATAGAACTGTATTGATGCTTGTTTAAAACAGTTATTTACATGCCGTAAACCTTGACTATTCAGAAAAGTATTCCACAAGTCTTAGATGCTAAGTTGGTATCAGTACTATTTGTCACCTATAGCATCTTCAAAACCAGAAGAAAAGGCACTCATTTTGAAGTCTTTGAGTTTTAAACACAGCTTCCTTACAAAACATTAGGTCAGGCCTATCATCTTGAAATAATAAATTTAATCTGGAATTTAAAAAAAGTTACTAAATTAAAACAAGAAAACAAAATTTAGATGCACAACCTAATAAATAAAACATAATTTCTAATATATATGAAATGCACTGCAGCATAACTCAACTTTAATTACAGTTTACAATCACAAACATTAAGGACATTTACATATACTTACAAGCAGAGAGTATTGGTCATTAGACTACTACAGTCTTAGTTCTAGTTACTTTAGTTAGTTGTATAGAAATATATCAATATCATTATTAATTGTTATAGTAGTTATTAAACAGTTATTGAAAAGTTATTGTGAATTTAGTGCTGGTAGTTCTCTTATTTCAATATTTATCTAATTCAAAGTGTAATCTCTACCCTTGTTTGTCAACAAAACAAGGCTGGTGGTAAAAAGTCCTTTTAAATTAAAATAGATAGAAACAGAGTATAAATTATTATGGTTCCCAGAAAAATATGCAATGGAAAGATGCGCCTGAAAAGTGTGCACAGATAAAACTATACACACAGAAAAATGCACTAAGCGATGTTTCTGCACACAGGGAGCTGAGAGTATTCCAGTCAACATGGGCTAAGAGTCATTTCTGCACACAGGAAATTATGCAAAGAGAAGTTTCTGCACACAGAATCTACAAGCAGAATCTATGTATCTACTGATAGGACCGTGATAGAGTAGATCAAAGACTCGATAACTAGCCTAACTCTTTTGTTGACTAGTCTATGACTTCACTCATCACTGTCTTGTAATGTCTCTAAATTTCTAGCAGTCTAGCTAGACTCTAGTTACTAGTCTAGAGTACTAGTTAGACCGTTGTTAGTTAACTTGTTAGGCACTAGATAGTAGAATCTAGTCAGACTTAGTTCTACTCTGGCATTATTCATTATCATTTATGGCATAGAAGATAGAGATCGGCATAGAAAAAGTCAACTCAATACTTCGCCCGCCCTATGCCTATGTTAAAACTATGTTTTATGTTGGGCCAAATTAATTACGTCATTAATATAAATATAGAGCTAGGCCTAGATCTAGCTTTAATAAAAGAAAACGTATTTCAAATGAAACAAAACCAGTTTTGGACAACACTTAATGCTTACCTTTTAGAGACAACGAATTTTCTTTTCGTCACACCTCACTTTCAGTTTATGATAAACACCTTTTGACGTCAAGGGAAAAATATAGTAGCAGCGACACCGACGATTCAAAGGGAAATAATTATAAATATATGGAATCGATAGAGGTTTTCTATCACTTCGCATTTTTATTTCGATTGTTCTCCTGTCTTCTTGTCTTTATCGCATTTTTTTCTAACCACAATTACAACCGGATCTTTCTAAAACAAGCAACAGTTTTTGCTTCTCTTAGACATTATGTTATTGTCGATAGATTTACATATTTTTGTCGAATCAAACAAATAATGTGACCGTAGCGTTGAACCGTCAAATCGACCTCCGACAAAACGACACAGTCAAAAAATAGCCCCGTCAAAAGGGCGCCCGTCATATTGACTCTCGACAAATGGACTCCCGACATATTGGTTCCAGATAAATAGGCTCAGGACATATTGGCTCCCGATAAACTTGGCTCCCGACATAAGGGCTCACGACAAATGTGCTCCCGACACATTGGCTCCAGACAAATAAATCATATGACCACTTGACATACAAGTAACCATTCTGCCCCACCTCCACTACCAATACAACCTCTTTTAAATGCCTGGATGAATTATTTTTGTCATGAACCAACAGCAGTTCACAAACAAATCGAGCTAAATTCCATAAATTTTAAAACTTTGATGTTTAATTTACAACAGTAAAGACCTGTTGCTTAAGAAAACGAGCACAGAAGATTAAATGTAAGATATACATACATGATGTTTACATGATAACGACATTTTGTTTTGATTACCTACAAGCACACTGCAGGTAGGAATGTACAGCATAGACCTCTCTCACCAGACGCTGAGTTGGAACAGCCCACAACCGACTCTTTTGTGGAAGTCATAGTTGGATGACCCTTAAATTAAAACATACTATTTCTTATACTAGATAAAATAATATATAAATAAGGCCCGTCAAACAAGAGATGCATACGTTTTATTACTTAATAGACTAAAGAGTATTGATGAAGGGGTCCCACTGGCAGGTGTTATATTCAATGACGACTTTTCGCCGGGAGTCTTAGTCTCTACTGAAACCGTATTTACAGGGGCCCTTTTTGTCGGGAGCCAAAATGACGGGAGCCTATTAGTCGGGAGTCATAATGACGGAAGACGTTTTGTCGTGATTTGTAATGACGGGGGCTGTTTTCTCGGGAGCCATAATGATGGAAGCCTACTTGTCGGGTGTCGTAATGACGGGAGACGTTTTGTCGGGAGCATAAATGACGGGAGCCTGTCGGGAGTCTATATGAAGGAGTCAATTTGTCGCTGGCCCTATTGACGGGATCGATTTGACGGGGTTCTTATGTCGGGGCCGATTTGTCGTGGCCTTTTTGTCATTGGCCGTTTTGACGCCGCGCGCCGTAGCATACTTCACAAATGGCTACTGTGTTATTTATCTCTAAGACCTAATGAGGCTTAGATGTTCATGCGGTTTCATAAAATAATAAGTATTTACTTGGAATATTTGTTTCCTGTGAACTATCTTTGTTGACAATTCACAGTTCGATTGTAGCAGTTGGAACTATGTTTTTTTGGAATTCATCTCAGAAAAAGTTGCCACTATCCTGAAAATGGGCCTAAGGGAAACAACCGCTTTTTTTAAAATGAAAAATAATTGCACAATTAAACACCGCGTTTGCACTTGCTACATGTATTATACTATACTAGCTGCATCCCGTGCTCCGCCACGGTAAATCTTTTTTAAATGTACCAACTTGGGAACAGAACAAAACTAAACACAACACAAACGAACGCAAAAAAAAACAACCGAAAAAACAAACACAACACTCATAACATAGACACAATTTAAATGCAATCATACAGGCATATTGCTCACAGTCTAGCCCGTAGCGCCAAATCGCGCCCTTTCCGGTGATTTGCACCCCCCTCAAACTTTCGATTTGCACCCCTTCCCCCCCCCTCCCTAAAACTTTCGATTTCCACCACCCCCCCCCCCTCGCACATTTTTTCCAACCCACTTTGGCGCCCCCTAAGGTCGGCACCCGGGGACATATGCCCTCCCCCCCCCCCCCCTCGCTACGCCTCTCCTATAAAACCCGAAAGATAGAATAATAATTAGAAAACAGTATAAATAATAGGCAATATCTATAATATATACAATATTTCACTTTATCCATTCACGCATTTTTTCCCAGTACTTTAAATTTTAAAAATTTACAATAGAGTTTCATAACTAAAACCAATGCGCACCTAATGAACGTGATGACGCGTCTATAATAGTGCTGAATAATTGATTAAAAATTATAAGTAATAAACAGTAGAGCCTACATTTAGTGAATAAAATAAATAAAGATTGCCTTTTATCAATCCATGCTAATTATAATTTTCTAACAATAATTTCCTCTTACACATCCGAATAATTTGCATTCACATTTTGCTAATTATATTATTGCAACACTAATTCCTTCTATGACGAACGTATATTTGCATTCACATTTTTTATTAGCGTGAGTTTAATGTATTTTTAAATTACCTCCTTTGTCAAAATTAGAAAAGAGTTAAATTAATTCGATTTTTCTACCCTGCTGTTATTATGTTATTAAAATGTATCCACTTTTTCTGGGAGCCTAAACGAAAATGATATTTGACATTAATCTTTTTAATACGTTTTAGCAGTTTGCGTGTATTTAATATTTTCTTGACGTTATGCGAAAGAGTAAAAACCGTGGCAATTATAAAATAGCTCTATGCCGCTATATAAACAAACCCTACTCTATTACTTATAATAAGACACTGCGGTGCACTGAAAAGCACAGCATGGTGCGAATGTTTACTTTTATAGTCCCAAAATCTATAGCGATGACGGACGGAAGGAAGGAAGGAAGGACAGACACAGCCCGCTTATATTATAGACTAGCTGCATCCCGTGCTCCGCCACGGTAAATCTTTTTAAAATATACCAACTTTGGAACAGAACAAAACAAACAAAAACAACACAAACACAAACACAAACAAAACACAACCACAACCACAACACAACCACATTACAACCACAACACAATCACAACACAACCACAACCACAACCACAACACAACCACAAAACAACCACAACACAACCACAAAACAACCACAACACAACCACAACACAACCACAACACAACCACAACCACAACACACGGTAAATCTTTTTTAAATGTACCAAGTTGGGAACAGAACAAAACTAAATACAACACAAACGAACGCAAAGAAAAAAAAAACGAAAAAACAAACACAACACTCATAACATAAACACAATTTAAATGCAATCATAAAGGCATATTGCTCACAGTCTAGCCCGTAGCGCCTAATCGCGCCCTTTCCGGTGATTTGCACCCCCCTCAAACTTTCGATTTGCACCCCTGTCCCCCCGCCCTAAAACTTTCGATTTCCACCCCCCCCCCCCTCGCGCAATTTTTTCCAACCCACTTTGGCGCCCCCTAAGGTCGGCACCCGGGGACATATGCCCCCCCCCCTCGCTACGCCTCTCCTATAAAACCCGAAAGATAGAATAATAATTAGAAAACTGTATAAATAATATGCAGTATCTATAATATCCGTGTTTTACCTACAATATTTCACTTTATCCATTCACGCATTTTTTTTCCAGTACTTTAAATTTTAAAAATTTACAATAGAGTTTCATAACTAAAACCATTGCGCACCTGATGAACGTGATGACGCGTCTATAATAGTGCTGAATAGTTGATTCAAAATTATAAGTAATAAACAGTAGGGCCTACATTCAGTGAATAAAATAAATAAAAGATTGCCTTTTATCAATCCATGCTAATTATAATTTTCTAACAATAATTTACTCTTACACATCCGGATAATTTGCATTCACATTTTGCTAATTATATTATTGCAACACTAATTCCTTCTATGACGACCGTATATTTGCATTCACATTTTTTATTAGCGTGAGTTTAATGTATTTTTAAATTACCTCTTTTGTCAAAATTAGAAAAAAAGAGTTATATTAATTTGATTTTTCTACCGTACTGTTATTATGTTATTGAAATGTATCCATTTTTTTCTGGGAATATAAACGAAAATGATATTTGACATTGATACTTTTAATATGTTTTAGCCGTGTGTGTATATTTAATATTTTCTTTAAGTTATGCAAAATTGTACAAACAGTGGAAATTATAAAATAGCTCTATGCCGCTATATAAACAAACCCTACTCTAATACTTATAATAAGACACTGCGGTGCACTGAAAAGCACAGCATGGTGCGTAGTTTACTTTTATAGTCCCAAAATCTATAGCGATGACGGAAGGAAGGACTGACACACGCTCAGCCCGCTTATATTATAGATACCGGAAAAAAATCTAGCAGCAAGTTAAACATTTTTTCCCAGACGTGCTACTATACAAACATATCGTAAGAGTGATTGCGGTGTAAGCTCAACGACCGCCTCCATGTTAGGAATATTACTTAACATATGGACTACTCCCTAAATAGGACCCTATCAATCTGCTACCTTAGCAGCTTTATGAAACGAGTTACATTAAGTTACCTAGTATGAAAACTGTGTTGATTCATAACTCAGACAGTGCACGTATCAACAAACAACTTAGTAGGGGTCGACCTTTAATGCTACTAGCTAAGGTATTGGAAATACTTTTGCAATTTAAAAAGTATATATATATATATATATATATATATATATATATATATATATATATATATATATATATATATATATATATAATTTATAATTTTATATACCTACATATAATATTGCACATTTTCTACTCCGACCCCCAGAGGCGTAGCGACCCCAACCGGCACCCGGGGCAAACTTTCAGTTTGGCGCCCCCCCCCCCCCCCATATATATATATATATATATATATATATATATATATATATATATATATATATATATATATATATATATATATATATGTGTGTGTGTGTGTGTGTGTATGTGATAGTTCGACAGTCCGGGAAAGTCGGAAAAGGTTTAATAATTACGATGTATGATTGTCGTTCCCTAAAGCTTTAC